GACTTAAATTGTAGAAAATTTTGTTGATTGTTTCAGTATGAATTAGTAGAAACTGTTTGATACAATGGAAGTTCATTATTTTACATTTAATTTGAAAGTTATTAAAGATTACCATTTCACATCCAGTGTTTGCTCATTTAGCGAAACGGCACAGTCATCCGGTGGGCGAGCAAGATCGACTGTGATTTCGATACCTTTACGAGATATCGAAGCAATGCGATATACTGTGCAATGAGTATTCGCCCAGTTATTTTATTAAGTTATGAAAACATTCCTAATAGTTAAACATTAAAGTGTAAAATAGAGAGAATTAAATTATTAAAATATGGCGATACTTCCAACAACAATAAATAACTTATTACGCAATAATACAGTATTGATTTTTATTTTAATAAACAATAATTTACATGTGTGCGTTCAACGATAATCATAACTAATTGCAAAGTTATTATCAAATAGGTATGAAAGCCTTCGTTAAGTCTTACGTGCACAGAAAACGTGGGAATAACTTTCTATTTTTATTTTTCCGAAATGTTTCATACAATTCACAATATCCGTGAATGTAGTTCAACAATGTTGACAACACATAGATTTGTGAAATTTTATTTTATTAGTTAGATACATTTATCTTTGAAATAAAGTACCCTCTAGCTGTTTCGCTATCGCTTCTTTATGACGTCTCGCTGATCAAGGCCATCCAAATGAAAATAAATACACTTAAAAACAATAAAATAATTGTTATAAACATTTGCATCTGTTTTACTTAATTCCTGAAATAGTTAAACACGCGTCTCACACAATCTCTACACCACGTACTGTAAAATTTAAATAACAAAATAGTATTGTCCAGCAATATAATAAACATATATAAAAGAAGAACGTTTCAATGTACATGGCTAGAAGGCAATTTACAGTTTCCGACGAAAAATGTCCATTCTTAATTGTGGAAAAGGTATTACGTAACGTTTAATTTCTTCTTTTTCTGTAGATTAATATATAATAGTCTTAAGTTTGAGCCTCGAGAATATTAAAATAAACATTTGGTCTTTCATGCCAATAAAATGTTGTTATATTGCGCTTTGACTCGAGTTTAGAAATGTTACATGAAAGAAAATAGTATTTTAATTAAATTATAACTTATCTTGTAGAAATATTCGTATCTTTAAATACTGTAACATGAATGATTCGAAATACTTCCACGATTAGACAAGAGTTAAGTAGAAGAGACATTTTAAGTTGTCTCCCCAATTTGATATTTTACTTTCGTTTATCACAATGATCGATAAGTATTCAAGAGTATCTTGAGTATTGAATAAAAATCTCAACGAACAGAATATAATACAACGCGTACAAAACGGTTTGGTAGTGATGAGAGGCGTATTCGAAGCGACTGAATGAAAATATTTACGATGTTCAAAGGCCAGCTAAAATAATTCTGGGATCTTCGACTGCTTCCTTGATTTTTCTCAAAAACATCACAGCCTCACGCCCATCGATCAATCGATGATCGTATGTCAAAGCTACATACATCATTGGACGAATTACGACCTACAAAGTAACAATATTATTAACGACGATAATCCTAACAAAATTTAATTTAAATATAATTTATTAATTACCTCGCCCTTAAGTGCAATTGGTCTATCAAATACTCCATGCATTCCAAGTATCGCGCTCTGTGGTGGATTGATAATAGGCATTCCCATAAGAGAACCGAACACACCGCCGTTACTTATTGTGAATGTACCACCATCCATATCTTCTACAGATATCTTGCCTTTTCTTGCTTTATCGCTTATAGCTGCTAGAGCGATTTCAATTTCTGCAAAGTTCTTGTTTTCTACGCTGCGGATCACTGGAACAACGAGACCCTTCGGAGTTGCCACTGCAACGCTAATATCAACATAGTCTCTATAAACTATATCTGTGCCGTCTATTACAGCATTTACGACTGGCTGATCTTTCAATGCATAGGCACTTGCTGCAATAAATGGACTCATGAATCCAAGCTTTAAACCGTACTTTTTCGTAAAGCTTTCTTGATGCGCTTTACGGAATTCCATGATGCGACTGTAACAAAGTAAAACAATTTATTAGAAACAATAAAAAGAAATTTATATTAAAAATCGATGTTATAGTCAATATATAATAACCTCATGTCAATTTCGTTGAACGTTGTCAACATAGCGTTAGTATTTTGAGCATCTTTTAGTCGTTCCGCGATACGCAATCGCATTCTATTCATCTTTACTCGTTGCTCTGTCCTTGTACCGATTATTTCGCGTGTGTAATCAGCAGGTGGCAGTTGAACTTTTGCACCTTCTAAGGACTAAAAATTTCCAAATTTCTCATAAATAATAGAATATAATAAAAAACAGGGAAAATTTATTATTAATTCCGAATTATGTGTACGACAGTTCTTACCTGAGCGTGTTTAATGGCAGCTACTGGCATAGAGGCTTTAGGTGCTTGTGGAGGCGGAGGACGAGCTGCTGGAGGCGGTGGTGCGGCTGCTGGAGGCGGTGGTGCGGCTGCCTGTGATGGTGTTGGTGGTGGTGGCGGAGGAGGAGGAGGTGCCGCCGCAGGAGTGGGTGGAGGAGCTGGTGCTTCTGGCTTTGGAGCCTCTGCTGCTGGTGCAGCTCCTCCAGTTGCACCAATATCGATGGTACATAATTTTTGGCCTGGCTTTACGGTATCACCATCTTTTGCAAAGATCTCTTTCAGAACACCAGAACCTGGTGCTGGCACAGGAACTGAAGTCTACAAAAGTATTATTGTAAGTTTACTAACTACACGACGTGAACGTTATTCATCAGATTAATTTACCTTATCTGTTTCAATTTCACACAAGACATCATCTTCCTTGACTTGATCGCCGATTTTCTTTTCCCATCTGACGTCTCCCTCGCTTACGCTTTCCGCGAAAGCGGGTACCATAACTTCCCTTATTTCCCCTATCATATACATACAATGATAATATCAGAATTTAAGGTACTATTTTTTGTATTGAATGTTCAAAGATGACTTACATAACGTAGATGTTGAATGTATATGTTTTGGCTGGTCTATCCGATAGTGAAATTTCTTATATTTTGTACACCTGAATGTTTTTTAAAAATTTACATTAAATAATCTTAGGATAGTTCAATACTTTTTATGTACTTATCAACTTACAATTGAGAGTTCTTGTTGACCACATGTTCGGTGTGGATAAATAGTATGCGCCCTACAAAAATGATTTGATACAATTAGTAGTTTACGTTCATGGTTATCCCCAACGTTGATATGCCTCTCTATAAAGATAATTTTTAGATTTTCAACATATCTCACCACTTTCTTAATGCGTTATCTTCAATACCAATTAGTCTTACCTTGGCTACATAAAGACCTCACAACCTGAAAAAATATCAACACATATAATTGTATATTGTGCAACTTATTCAAATGTGATATACATTTTTATTATGAACCTTGACACAATGAATTTGTACTATCTTTCATACATGATACATGCCAACATGCACTTTGAGAAGCAAGATAAAAATAGGTATTGTTTCTATCAGAGAAAAGAAATGTTATTGTCAACTATAAATGGCTCAAAGTTGACCAGGATCTAATTGGTTATTTAAAGAGACATTCGCGTTCGACGACCGAGAGAAATTAATAATTTTTCATTGACAGATTACGCAGACAATGGATCGAATCATTCGTACATTCAGAGTTAAGGAGATATTATATAATCGATCCGAAAGGTAAGGGTAGTATTGCAACAACCTTGGTGGCAGGTTCTACTTGAAAAGGGCGTTAGGTTCTTCTTACCTAATGCATGTGTCACAGATGTTTCATGTTAACGTACAAAGGGAAATTGTAATTACGCTAAAGAACTCACCTTCGTTCGTGATATACTAATTCGTGTTATCGTACGAGGCACGAACCGCGAACAGTTGGACAGCATCGCGGCCATCCTCAAGCGGAAAATTATGCTCAGGTGTTCGTTCACGAGACTTGTGACGGTGAGGAAGCAGTGCAGGGCCGTACACTCAGTAGTGGGGCTGATTCGCAGCGACGTGTTCAAAAATTTGCCATTCAGCGGGTTCCGAAATCAGTAAAAATTCGTCGCTGCGCACTTGATCAAGACAGGAAGCAAAATAATAATTGTCACTATTAAACGTTACGATCATTTTGAAATTCGAACGCGATCTGCATCCAGAAAGTCATCGTTTCCTAAGCCGCTTTGTGACCATTCACAAACATGGTAACACCCCTCTGGTAATAGTCAATCACAGAACTATACTAATTCTGGTCTTAATACCAGTACCGCCATCGATGGCCAAACGCTCAAGTTTGTAGTGAAAATAGTTTCGACTCTTGCTTTTAGATGGCGCCTCTAACTAAAGTTTGTAATTTAAAACTTCATTTATGTTTGTAAAAGCAGATAGATGTTTAAACAATACATTGAAATAATACATTATACTAGTATAAATCCAAAAGGTTGTATTAATTATGTATTCATGAAAAATAAAGAATAATTGCTTAAAAAATATCAGTGGCGTTATCTAGGAGCAAGAGTAGGAACTATTCCCAATACAAACTTGGGCGTTTTGAAACCGATGGCGCCACTAGTAATAAAACCGGTATTAGTTCAGTGATTGGCTGATATTAGGGAGCGGTCGTTATGTTTAAAAGCGAAAAATTGGTAAGCTCATCCGCTCACAGGGTGCCTTAGTGAGCGGTGCCTTTTTGGATGTACCCAATATGAATTGTGATAGCTGTGGCTGTGACGATGATCCTGTCACCACCTGTCACAAAGGTTACTTTTGAAATTACTTTGTAAGTGGATTATTAATTCACACTATGCAATCGTAAAAAGATGTATTCTAAAATTACTTTCTGTCAAACTTGTCGAATTCTGAGACAATTTCGTGAGGACTTTTTATAGAGAAATTATTGTAGACTTCATGCTGTATGGTCCAAAGTATTAAGAACGATCTCTATGACATTTGTGAGTTCGTGACTGGGTTCTGGTTTTTAAACGCGAATAGAGAAGAGCGAAGATCTAATTGAACGATTCAGTTACGGTGCGGTGGTTGTATACGGGAACGTATTTATTATGAGCGCGACACGCGAATGTGTTTGGTTGTTGGCTATCGCGTAAAAAACGTTTAAATGTAAGAAGATATTATAGTCGAATGTAAACTATTTGACAGCAAAGCGTGTGTTGTTTATCGAGGTTGACGAGATTTATTGTGCAACATGGCGATTATATTTGAATGATACGTGCACGTCGTTTTGTTATTATTTCACATGCACCGAAGAGATTACATATTGTTCCTGATGACAGTATCCGAAATACGTATCCACATTGAGCGTAATATTCGTTACAAGTGAAACTCGCTATAACAAAATAATCTCGTTAAAAAAAGGTTAAGAATAATATAGCAAAACATTCTTTTTTATGTTGATATCTTCTGTACGATATCAAGACATTCATAATAGGTTGTCATTTTTAATAACGTTTGTGACAATACCTGAGAAAATATCAAAATGTGTCTTGTTACAGATTTACAAATTTCCAGACAGTGTTTATTTGTACAAAGTAACGAGATCTTAACAGGATAAATTATGCAGTATGTGAACCTTCCTGTAACTAAGTTAGTGCACTGTAGGAGTCACATGACTGTTAAAAGAACTGTAGGCCCAGATGCACTACGATAATTAAAGTGTCAGAATTGACAGTGTGATGAGTGGCAGTGGATTCAGGGGAAGAGGCTTTGGACCACGGGGTGCTCGTTCGAATGGTCCAACTAATGGTTTTACCGGACCCAGGTTTCCATTTCCTAACTTTAATCATCCATGGCCGCAGCATAGGTTACCTGGACCTGAAAAATGGATAGAAGGTCCAAATTTTGCACCATGGCAAAAAAACAAAAATTTTGTTCCAAGACCTCATTACAGGGGAAATTTACAGTTTCGACAAAATAACAGAGGTAGAGCAGTTAAAGGTAATAATGGTAGGGGTAGACCATCTGCTTCTCAATTTTGTTTAACAAGAAATCCTGGACCCAGGGTGCTAGGACCTCGAGAAGAGCAGGTGGTAGAAAATGAAAAACCTGTATTGGTTCCTGTTCTGCCTGGCTCAGAAGAGGAAAGGCAAAAAAAAATTATAGAAACAGCTGACAAATTAAAGCAGAAATTATCGTCCATAAAGCCGGAAGAGCTTACAAATTTTTGGGAAGATGATTTATCCATTTTACCAAATCCTGATTTTAAAGAAAAGAGTACCCTGACCAAGGGTATTCCTGAACTTAGACATGAACCATCTGAACTTAATTTAAGTTATACAGATTTCAGAGACATAGGTAAAGTTGATGGCAGTAATAAGTTTGACAATGTTAAAGATAAAATTAACAGCGATGATATTATAATTACGTTTGAAGGTAAAACTACAGATGCAAGTACAAATAATGAGCATATTGTCATAAATGAAGATCAAGATGAATCTTTGACAATATCAGATTCTGTATATGAAAATGATGTCTTGTGTAAGTCAAATAATCAGGAAGAAATATTTCATAATTTACCTAACTTTGAATGTAATTCAGAAAACTTACATTTGCAATGTAATAATGTCACAGAAATTGTAGTATCTTCAGATGAAAATAATGTTGATGAAACCTTATCAGTTTCGAATATAGATGAGAAAATATTAAATTTTACACCAACAAAACCCACTGATGATTTAATAAATGAAAAATCATTAGATTTAGATGATGTAGAAGTAAACACGTCGCAGAAGCAAAATACATTGGAGTTAGATAAGCAGAATATAGATACAGATATTATACAGGTTACGAATGTTGATTTACAACAGAATGAGCATTTGGAATCAGATTTACACCAATTACAAGATAATGTACCTGAAGAAGAAGTTTGCCAAATTTCGGCCAATACTTCTGATTCTTTGCAGAACAATTCGGTATATCTTCCGCCTCCTAGCGAAGATATTCAGTCGAACATCGTGCGTGATTCACAATCACCAACATATTCAATTTATAACGAAGCACCGAAATTAAATAGTCCATCTGCTTTTCAACAAAGGGTATTTAACGTGCCTCCCAGATTTGGTCCAAGAATTCCTGGAACAAGGAATCGATGGCCATTTCAACAGAATGGAAACAATTTATTTTTTAGGGGACCACAAAGATTACCCTTTCATGGTAATCGAATGCCTCGAATACCATACGAATACAACCCAACTGATCTAGTTCCACTTGCATTTGACCCTCGCGCACCACCACCATTTACACACAATGTACCTGCCACAAGCCATGACTCTCAGCACCTTACAGTAGTGCCATTTTCTACTAAAGATCTGCCTCCTAAGTTCGATCCTAGCGAACCTCCGCCAAATATAAGAACAACGTCTGCGACTGAGCCATCCAATAGACAAGAAATTGCACAGACTATGCCACCTTTAGATTCGAGAAATCAAACGAAAACTACTCCTCTGAATAATATGGAAAATATGCAACCCCCTGCCTTTGACCCTAGAGGGCCACCTCCTAAAATCTCAAATGTAATAGCGAAGACTAATGAAAATTTACCTGAATTTAATCCTCAACAACCACCACCGAAAATTCACAAACGGGATGAAACTTTACAACCACCGCCGATCTTCGATCCGAGGCTTTCTTCTCAAGAACGTTCTAAATTAATTGCTCCGTTAAATCCTGCTGGATCCCACATGATGGGAATGAAGATAATGGAAACTTCGCAATTACCAGTTCTCAACATAACACCTGTTACAGCAAATTTTTCGCATCCCCCGCCAACGATGCCTACGCATCAGGGTTTCATACCTGCTCTACCAGTTAATTTTCCACCTGTTTTGCCACAGGTAAACAGTGGACAGGTAATGGTGCAAGAATTTGCACTACCTCCTCCGCCTATAAATATCACCGAAATTCCCCCACTTCCACCACAAGAGCCTTTGTCAGAAAAAAATTCCAATCATCATCAAGTTATAAACATGGATGATGGATTGGAAGACATGCAGGAAGCAATGGAGTTCGCAAAAGAAATAATGAAAATGAATCAAGGTGGACCATCAGGGTCTGAAGCATCATTCGCACCATCAGAAATTCCTGTACCAATTGAAGATATACCATGTTTATTAATAAATCAAACAAATGTAAATACTGTGAAGAAACAAAAGAAAAAAGATAATATGAATAAAAAGAGTAAACAAAATATAATTTGTGGACCAGAACTAAATCTTGAAAAACAAAGGGAAGCCGAAATAACGAACGAGGAGGAAAGTGTACAAATTCAAACTAAAAATATCGATGATACAATATTGACTGATGATCAAATACGCCCCAAAGTGGTGTTTAATTTAAATTCTAAAACAAAGATAATACAAAAGCCAGAGGAGTGGCACAGAACTACCGTGAACATTTCTGAAAATAAGGAAGCTTCTCGCTATCTTACGACTCAAAATTCTTGTAAAGAAAAGAAACAGTCTAAAAAGTATTCTTTCGATCGTAAGAGGAACAATATAAATCAAATAAAAAATCAGGAAAAGGAGTATAGTCTTAACACGAATTTAAAACGCTGCTGCGCGGAGATTACAAAAACACCTATGGTCGACAAATCGAATGATAGATCTCACCATCAAGATTATATCAAAGACTCACAAAAGACGTATTCGTATTCTTTGAATATACCGCTATCCAATAACATAGGTCTACAAAAGATTCCAAAATCAAAGAAAGAAGTTAGGAAGGTACCAACTCCTATCTCAGAATCTTCATGGAAGGGTAGAGTAATCAATCGTTTTCTGAAAATGAGTAAAAATGATATTTGCAATATGGTTAACAATTCGAGCCTTCGTAAGTTCGACATTGCAATGAAGCATCTGGTGAAAGAAAAGAGATCTTCTATGTCGATTGAAATGAGAAACACGGAAGACGAAAAAATGAAAGAGTACGATAGAGAAGAATTTATGAATCAGTTAAACGCAATGTTAGATCCAAGTGCTGTAGTAGGTATTTCTGATTTACCTACAGAATTTATACACCATCTTAGTGAAGTATTACAACTCGATCCTATAGAAGATACCCTTGAAAATATGAATTCATCGAAAAAATCATTGTTAAATAAGTCGAATTCTGAAGCCGAGGCTACACACAAATTACAGACGCCATTATTTAACGAAGCAGATTTGGATGATATATTGTCGCAGGTTACAGAAAGGACAAGAACTCCAGCACAGATACAACCTGTAACAAAACCCTCTGAAGATAATGCTCAGTTTCCTAATTCGACGGTGGCTGATCTCGATGATATTTTCTCGGCTGGTATCGCACGAGCCAAGTCGCTCAGCAAAAGCGCAGACTTAGCTAACACGAGAGTACGCAAATCCAGCTCCGAAGACCAAATCAGGTTTAAATCTGAGAGGAGGGATAGAAACAAACAAGAGGATCCAGACATGTTCAGACATGAAATGTGGAATAATAATCATGATATGAATAATCATCAAGAAGATACATTTAGATCCGAGAAGTACGAATACATGTGTAGAAATTTAACAAAAGAAGAATGGGAAGCTAAGTATGGATCGGTGAATGCTACGACAGTTTCGACTATGCGTAAAACTTGCTCTAACAGTGCCGAGAACTTAAACAGAGACAGTAAGTATTGTCAATCTCAAAGGTACTATTCGTCCGATTCACAAATGAGGCGCTTAAGCATGAGTCCTTTATCTCACGAGCCTCCTGCTTATGACCTGAAGAGATGTAGTATCCCTCGTTCTAATGACCTGGAGGACGTTGAAAGAACAGAACAATCGGACAGCAACAGCGATTCCAACACCAGCAGCACGAGTGACACAGAAGAGGAGACTGTTGCTCCTGATGTAACAAAATTGTTGAAGGTGATCAAGGAGAACGAGAAAATTGCCAAGAAGAAAACGCTGAACGAAACGATCAGAGACGAGGTTGCTGCTGAAATAGAGAAAAAGTGGATGGAGAAGAGCAAATATAAGGATAGGAAACTACGCAAACGCGATAAACGAAAAAGAGACAGGAGGGAGAAACAAAAGAAGAGAAGAAGGAGGAATAGAAATTCGCATTCGGACATGTCCAAGACCAGCGAACACCCGGAAGAGTTTCGATTGCTGACGGAAGACGAGATAAAGAAGGAGGTAGTCATCAAGGAGGAACCACTGAATACACCCGAAGAAACTATTCCTCAAACGTTTTCTCCCCAAACTAATACCACTCTTGTTGTACCTGCTACAACTTACGAAATGACTGAGGCAATATCGCGAATCGAATCTCAAAGTTTGGCGATAGAAAAGCAACAATTTCCTGTGATCACCTGCAATAAGATGCCGCCACAAATCAAGGCACACTCGACTGCTATTTCTGTGACGATGCACCCGAAGACTAAGGCACAACTCAAACAGATGCCAGAGTTCAACGACCTGATGCAGACAAACACTATAAAGAAGCCATTTGAAGTTGTTGTGAATGCTAACACAAAGAACATTGAAGAACAGGTAGAGAAGGACAAAGGTAGTGAAATAGATATCAACGTAGCAGACAACAAGGGTAATGGAAAAGAAAATAAAGATGGTGAGACAGATACTTTTTTACCTCCAAACAACTCTTTGCCTCAACTGAATCTATCTTTAAATGTTACAGAACAATCACACACTGAAACTACCAGTGATGATACAACGAACACACCGTCGTATAATGTTATAAATCCCGTTACTGAAATTAGTATAAGCAGTCACAGCAGTGATCAGAAAGCACCAGTAACAAGTATTTCTTCGTCAGAAACTAAGAGTGGTTACAGAAAAATAGACATAAAGGTGTACAAGGAACGCGCGTTGCAAAGACGCTTGAAGGAGGAAGCTAAGCTAAATGAAAATCTTGGTGTTTCGGTTTCATTGCCTTACAACTCGCATGATTCACAGATAAAGGTAGTCAATGAAATTTCAACGTTAACTACAATGAATAAGTTGCGGGCAGCGGAGGTAGATATAAATAAAGTGCAATTAAAGGATCCACGATTGGTTAATGTAAAATCAACGAGTCAATCAGCAGATTCTTCCTTTTTGGAAATTCCCAACAAAGAAGATACAGAAAAAGATAGTTCGACGGAGAAGCTTTTGCATACGAGCGTCTCCCAAAATAACGAACAACTTTTGACTCCTGTACAATCTAAGAGCGCTAACAAAGGGTTAGCAGCGAAAGTTAAAGACACAGAAAGGTTGTTCACTTTACCTGTGACTTTTGAGTTGGTTCCTCTTAGAGATTCTGATAGTCCTAAGGATAGTCCTAAGGATCACAAATGCGATGCAAAACCACTGAATGAAGCGCAAGAAAAGATAGTTAATCACGAATTAGTAGATCTTCAAATACAAGGGGAGTCCAAAGTAGAATCAGTAGAGTCGAAGAAACTTCCAACTACGAATGAAATCAACAAATTCAAAAATATTCGATCGGAAGGGAGCAAAGAATTGAAATTAAAAAAAGATAAGAAACCAACGGAAAAGAAGAAGAAGTCACCGAAATCTAAGTCTTTAATTGAGAAAGATTTGAAGCATTCGAATAAAGCTGAAATTAAGAAGACAGAAAATTCCTCAGAATCGGAAGTACGCGCTGAGAATGTAGCGGTCGAGCATATTAACTGCAGAATTAATAAAGAATTGATTAATAGTGATTTTACAATCGTAGAAAAGAACGATAAAAGAGATGCAAAAAATGATGAAGTAAAAACTGATATTGATACAAGAATTACGGAAAGTCAACAAATTACAAATGTAGTTGAAGATGGAAATCAGGGAAATCAGCAAATTACGGATCAAGGGAAAATTGAGATTACGGACGACAAAGATTTAATAAATTTGAAAATGGAAGAAAATAGCGTCAAGGAGATAGGAGAAAGTAGATCTCCAAGTTTTGAAGTAAACGGTACATCGTTTGAACCTGACGCTATTGTACAATTAGATAAAAAAGAGAATAAGGAAGAAGTAAAGGAAGAAGTTTTTTCTTTCAATAATACTCAAATACAAATTTACACTGCAAATCGAATATTTTCTACTGAAAATCCATGTTGTATCGATCAAAAGATACATTCCCCGAAAGACGATAACGATTTAAATAACAGCGTAAAAAGTGATAGTAATTCTACGCCAGACCTAAGAACGGACTTAAAAGTTCTTGGCGATTCAAAAACAAAATTAAGTAATCAAGATGATCAAGATGACGACACGTCTACATCTGCGTTGAAAGATCTGCAAACCTTGGATGACTTTAGTAAAGCTGAAGAAGACGAAGTAAGATCTCCTGATAGTACAGGCAGTCCGTTTAAAGGTTTCCTCATTGAAGGAGATATCAAAAAACCTGCAATAGAAGATCCCAAAGAATGGTTGAAGATATGTCTTAACGAAGAACTTGATGAGGGGTCAAGACATGAAGTGGAGGAAATGAATGAACCAGCATCAGAGAAGACTTCGGTAGAAGAGCAATCAAGTACCGCTAGAAACGATATTAAAACTAGTAACATTGAAACTGTTACAAAACCATTAGAGACACGGGATAATAACACTGGCGTAAACCAGGATAATTCTTCTATACTTGAATCGGATAGTCAGGGTACGTTCGATGAGAATGGTGAACCATTCATCGTTTTGGACGAATACATCGATGATACAGATGACAAATCAATCGAGAAATTGGGCAACCTTGATTTAGATCTGGATGATTGTATCTCAAAAAATATGGATATATTTTCGAGCAGACCTTTGCCAGAAGTGGTGAGTTCGATAGATAATGTTAAATCATCGGACTTTAACTCGATAGACTTCAAACAACTATCAGATGTTTTTGATACAGATGATCTAATGTCTATAGAGCAAGCAGAAGAATCTACGTCTATCGACAGAAATTCTAACATAAAAGAATTATCTATTAATAGAAAACAGAACAGTGAAAATAATGTAACTGCAGTTTCTCAATTACAAATAAATGTACCGCTTATTACAGAAAAGAATCTTTCTGATACCGATATATCAGGGAATAATTTACAGCATAATTTTGAATCTTCTGACTTGGAGTCGAAAACTGCTACTCCTGAAATACCGACAACTTTAAATGTAGCGAAAACTGCCTTAGCAAAGTCGCTCGAAAATTTATCTGGAGTTACAGCATCGACACCTGAAATGAATGTTGAATGTACAAACCCGAACGAGGAAACTTCGGAACTAAATAAAAAAATAGATAAGGAAAGTTCCGTACTAAACAAGGGAGTCGTAAAGATAAACAAAAACACGTACATTGAAAGTTCCGAGTCGAACGAGAGGGTTTTAGAGACCCTTAAGAATGCGGTAGAGACGATCAAAGAAACTACCGAGTTGAACAAAAAAATATTGGACAAAGGACCTATCAGTTATGAAAAGAGTAACAACAAAGTATTGAACCACAGTTCTAGGAATAAGATAAACTCTAGTCGTTATGATCACATTGTAATGAAAGATCAGAAATCTTCGAGCAAGTCTGATAGAAGGAAAGATGATAAAGCCTTGCATGAGGTGAGAAGTAAACATAGATTGAAACATAAGCATCAGAAAAAACGTAACATTTCCAAGAAAGCGATAGAGGAGGCAGTGGAATCTGATAGTGTAAAAGTTAAGTATCCAACTACCAAGGAAGCTATCATGGCTAGGATGATTGAGATCGACGTTGAGATTCACAAACTAATGACAGAGAAAATGACTCTATATAAAATGCTGAAAAATGATACTTTAGCAACTGATCAATTAATTCAGAACATAGATGCCATTCCTGTAACGAACCAATGTTCTAAAATAGCCACAGAAACTGTACCCCCAAAGGATACCGTGATAAACCCTGTACATATGAATAAATCTAAGGTATCCAAACATGAACACCATGCCGAAAAAAGAGCTCGTAGTTTTGATGACGAAGAGATTGGAAATACTTTCAAGAAAAGGAAGAAGCATAAAAGTACAGAAAAAGCAAAATGCGATGACAAGCCTGAGTCTGTACCTTCAGAAGAGAAACAATCTATCGACACAGCGAAATTAATATTAAAAAAAGCTAGTAAAAAACAAGAAACAAGCGAAAAGGTCACTGAACAAATAGAATCTCAAGTTTGCTGTGATGAACTTGTCAAGTTAAAGATGATGGACCAAGTCGATGAAACTGCTTCTTCATTGAAAGACAGCGAATGTGCATCGGAAACTTTAAATGATACGGATACGGCGAGTTCGGTAACAAAAACACTAGAGAACAGAACACCTGAGAGATCGTCCATATATTCTGATGATAGTACTTGGGACTCTCTTTTTCAAGCGCCAAGCGACGATCAAAAGAAGCCTGCTACTGGTCTTGCTCTTCTGGAGGAAACGTATAAAAAGGAAATAGCAAAAACCCGAAGAATAAGAATAGAAGCACGCAGAAGAAGAAAGCAAAAGATAATACGAAATCTGCAGCCATCCGTGAACGCTTTGACTCCTGAAGAGGAGGAGTTACCATTATCTGCTCTGTACGCGAAGAAGGTACATCACAGGAAGAAGACATTAAGTTCTCTAAACCAACAACTAGAGAAAACGAACGACGACCAACAACTTTGGAAGAATGTGGACGAAGTAATAAATGCCGTGGCGGAAAACAGGACAGAAGTTCTTTATAGAGGAAGATCAGAAAGGCGATCATCAGATGAAGGTAAGCAAAACTATGCGCCCGATGTAGACGATGCATGCCTGGACAAAGAGCACGTGGACAGTGCAGAAGTAAACTCTGAATCTAAATTATTACGAAGAGAAGAAAATGTTATTTTATTATCTAAAAGTAAGTCTCAAGATTTACGAAACGATGGAGAACAAGAGGATTTGGTCAGTGTAGAATCACAGAGCATGGAAAGTTCACCTACGATATCTTCTGTACAGCAAACCATGAAAGATAATAATCTAGAAATCAAGGAAGTAACCTTGGTTGAAAATTTAGACGATATCGATAAAACAAATAAAGAATCTAACTTACAAAAGAATATCGTTGACATAGAGGAAATTGTATCAGATACTGAGCAAGTTGCGCTAGTATCTAAACATAAAAAAGAAATGATCCCAAGTACATCACCTATTCCATTGTCACACGACGAAGTTCAAAATAGTTTGGCGAATGTTAAAAAGAATCGTTGTATCCAGAAAACAGTCAGTAGAAAACGATCTATACCTCGTGATGATGAAATTATCTTAAATCAAGAGATACAAATAATTAAGAAATGCAGACATACGATACTGGAAATGATCAATTGCAAAGTAAAATTGGTGGACAGTAAGCACACATTTCTAAAACCGAACGTGAATCCTAATTTATTACATATTTATGGAATATCAAAAATCAACTCATCTATACCCTTGCACCATATGCACGATATTCAGGTATCGACTTCGACACCGGAATTTTCACGAAGTCGGTCTCCAAAGTTGATTAAAAAACAGGATGATATAACTCGAACCTTGGCCAATGAGGTTTACTTGATCAAAGATAAAAGGAAACCAAAATCTGTAACCAAAAATTTACAAGGAAATGATAAAGAGAAGCATACAGATCTCAATAAAGAAGTAATACCAGTTTTGACAAAAGAACAAATTATTGTGGACATCTCAGAAGATAAAGAGAAATTAGATATTGAGATAGTTACCAAGAATCAAGATCAGAATGAATGTGGCTCAACTGTGATAGAGACAATTGACAATTTACCGAGGACACAATATACGGTCCACAAAGGTCCTATTTTAGATATTAAGGTAAAGGACTGAGCCGTTGTGCAGAAGAAAAAAATTATATTAAAGTAATGCATGATTTTTATCATTTCTTTCTTTCTTTTTTTTATTTGAACACATTTTATGATACAAATTTTTGTTTCATAATATCAAAGAAAATATATTGTATGTTTTTGGTTCTTATATGGTTTTTTACTGTTAGGCTTATATTCCACACGAATTCATAAGTGTATAGATACATAGGAATAGTATAAATAAAGCCACCAAAGTTTCTAGTTTCGAAGCTTTTCACTTATTATTCTCCTTTACCTCAGCTTCTACTTGCAGTCAGTTGTTCCCAATTCTTAGTGGAATTTCTTCTTATTTATGTATCAGTTGATTAATATTGCACCTGTAACATAAGTATTGAAAGAGAGATTATGGTTTTTTGTTGAATATTCATAATAGATTAATCACAAGAACAAATATGTCTTTTAGGTTTTTGAGAATTCATTTCTAGCTGCAAGTGAGGATGGCAGGATATATAGATACAGTCAAACATCTAATGGAATATTAAACATCTATAAAGGTCATACGGCAGCAGTAACTTGTTTATACGTGTACAATGCAAACAGTACAGACATTAACAAAGAGTGGATGTTTACTGGTTCATTGGACGGAACTTTACGTTGTTACAATGTAACGGTAAGTAAAAGCATAGACGATAATAAAATATGTTTATATTAATATAAAAGTAAAACGTGTATTAACACAAAATATTCTCTACACTACTGTGTATTGTGTATGGATTTTATTAGACTGGACAAGAACTTAGAGATGCAGCAGATATAGGTAGTCCAATACAGTGTATGGATGAAGCATGGGGGATAATCTTCATCGGTACTAAATCAGGCCATGTATCACGCTACCACGTGAAGGTTTGTTAGAAAATGTCAACGTTGTTCTCATATCGTTTGCGCATGTATATTACACATAAAATATAATTGGTTAATATATTAGTCAGGTGCTATCAAAGGAAATAGCATACAATTCTCTGATAAGTCTGTACTAGCTTTAAAAGCTACAAACGAGGGTCCACGAAGAGTTCTTATTGTAGCATCGCGTAGTCAGCCAATAACAATACGAGATGCTCAAAACGGCCTATTTCTTCGCACGATTTGTGGTCAAAAAAATCATACGGTGTATAGTTTGATGCTTGATAATAATCTGATTTATTGTGGCACGAGTACCACATCTATACTTGTCTTTGATTTCACGGTTCGTAGAAACAATATGTACAATAAATACCATTCTACGAAAACCATTCTTTATCTCACTACTTTTTACAGAATGGTGATCAAATAATTCAATACAATGCTGGCGTAGGAATTGTATGTATGCGACTGTACAAACAATTATTATTTGCTGGTTGTTATGATGGCAATATTTATGTATTTAATATAAAGGTTAATATTGAAATTACTTTAAATTAGGAAATGATCCTAACAAGAACCATTCATATTACATTTTGTTTACAGGATCATCGACTCGTGTGTAGTATACCTGGTCCTGGAAATATGTTATTAAGTATGGAAGTCATAGAGAATAAGGTATTTCAGTTCAAAAGGAAATGAAAGAAAATGCTATTGAACATAGAATAAATACATTGTTTTTTTAGATCATAGCTGGTAGCAAAGATAAACGTTTGCAGTCATGGCAAATGGCACATTCAGTACGAGCTTTGCTCTAGAAGTTGAAGAACCAAGTTCGACCTGATACATCTTAGTCTAGTCGTGCTCCTAAGACAGACTATTGAATTACTTAGGAGTACATCTTGTCTGCAAGGAACATCTATAAAACGATTGTACAGATTCAAACGACTTAATATGTAATATATATACATAATCTTATTTACAGAGAAGTGCACATAAACAATATAAATACGTTTGTACAGAAAAGTAGATAAATTAAATTATTGGTGTCGTGATAAGAACGAAATATTCACAGTACTTTTGAGAATTATGCTAGAGTCTTGTCTATAAAAACGGTAGGTAAATCTTTATTCCATTTTATCGATTCGCGCTACTGAGGGCAAACCTCCTGTGCCTTGTGCGCGTGGGAAAATATTTTTTAGTTGACCTTTAATAAAAAATACAAACATGAGCGCGACTGAAATAAAGTGCACGCACCCTTCATTTTCTGAAATTCTTAAACCTTTGCACTTGGTTTTTTCATTGTACCTGCATATATATTCGGAAAGTGAACTACGATGTTGTTTTATTATGATGTTACATACTTACTAAGCAGTACCATGATAAGTATAAGGACTAGAATTAATTAATCATATTTGTTATTTTATATCAAATTCATAGATGGCTTACAACTTTCCATGATTCATTTAATAAGTGCAAAGGATTGAGGTGTTAGTAGTACGAAAATATTATTTCGATAACGTAAGAAGAATGTTTTTGATTGCATCGATAGAACGCATATCTTTCAAGTTCTATTCAAGTTTATTCCTTGATGATATTATTTTTATTTTCATTATACTGTGTGATTAACAACTGACTGATTCGCGTGTGAAAGATACATTTTGGAAATTAATAATTTTTTTTTTTAATTTATCAGTTGGAAAAAGAAAGATGCGTTTCTCCCGATGTCGTAAGCGAAAAAATTCGAAATGTGATTGCGATGAAATGTATATGTTAAGGCAACTTATCTATATTATAGATTGTATGAAATGTACAATTTTTAAAAAAAGTATGAAATGTAAAGGGATTGGATACAATTCCGTATTTTGCTGTGTAGTTTACCTATAACATATACCGTTACATCCAATACACATTGTACTTATAAAATTATACAACTATTTACATGCAAGCCAATGATCATATTACGTTATACTTTGTATAAGTTCATTGTATATTTAGTATTTGTTATGTGTAACAATAAAATATTGTTCCCACATCTATGACAAACTTTGTGGCACTTGTTTCCAGATACATATTTTCTATGTAAATTAGTTATAGTCATGTACACCGTTTTAAAATTTTGTATATTAAAATGTATGGAAGTGTTACGAAACGTTTAATGAAAAACCTATACCATAAATTATTATAATTTTCAACATAAATGTTTTTGGGCTGGGGGGCTATTATACATATAATATATGTATAATATACGTATTATTTTAGACTATTAAGTAATATGATATGAATTACATGAAGTCCTTGTCTCTCTTATTTCAGTGCAAAGCCGTGCAAAAATTATTAATTTAAAATGTTATAATTTGAATATTCGTGCGCATTCCTTTTGAAGGATTAATTTTCTCTTTCATGTTATTTGCTACCTAGCGGTATATGAGTCGAACTAATTTTCGGAGTTTGGTCAGCGCCTCTATCGAGAAAACGTCCAGGTTTGTTCTCGATTAGTCCCTTTTTTAACCGTTAGATGGCGCCATTTTACATGGTGTTTATCTAACTATAGTAATGTATCGACAGCTGTCGGTAAAAAAAAACTGTGTAAATGGCGCCATCTAACAGTGAAAAAGGAACTAATCGAGGACAAACTTGGGCTGTTTCCCGATAGAGGCACTGACCGAATTCCGAAAATTAGTTCGGCCTAATCATCGCTAGATGGCTATTAATTCCATTAAAAACACGCGTAATTTGAATTTGTTAATATTAATATTAAAGTAACATAGTCCTTTACATTGTATTAGTTTACAGGACTTCATAATTCTGAGCTTCTACAATCCTTACCATCAATTTTTTGCATCATTTATTTTCTCTGCATGTATAATTATACATATGTATTCCATACAGGAACATGTTTGTTAAATCAATAAACCTTTGTCTGTATCCATACGAAACCGATTATCAATTTTGCATGAAAGTATAACAAATAAAACACATAAAAACATTTATATTCTGTTAGTTTAATACATTTTTAATAATGTGCCTTTGTCTTGGTCCTGCTAAATCTGGCAAAACCTTTCTCATGAAATATTTACAAGGAGACGAGATTGATGATGCGACTCATACTGTTTCTACGAATGGTATAAATCATTTTACAGTAAAAAATGGTACTGGTGAATTTGACATGATTATTAAAGAGATTGGTGGTAGTATGGCGCCAATATGGAAACACTACTTCGATAAGGTAATTTGTTTTAGAAGAGACTAACGAAAAAAAAACAAATGAATTTCCTAATTTTTAGATTCAGAAAATCATTTATGTAGTGGATGCGAGTAATCTTTGTCAGATAAGCGCGGCTGGAGTGTTACTTTACTCTCTGTTAGTCGAGCCTAGATTACAAAATATAAAAATTGCGTTAACATTGAACAAAATGGATCTTTCTTATCGCCAAATGCGTAATGAAGCCTTACTCATGCTTCAATATTCGCGTTTAAAGAAAGAAATTACACAAGAACTCGCTATATTTGAAACTAGTGGGTTGACTGGTCAAGGTATCGAAGAATTACGAGATTGGTTATTTGATCCAATCACTTTAAAAGCTGCAATAAATGCGAACAAATGAAGTTAATACATCATATGAAATAATGATACCTGAAAATGGATGTTTCCGTTTATTTACACTCATTCTTACAAGATTATCGAGATTCTTTGGATGAATTTTATAGGTTTATTGTTTATTACACTCAAAATGTAGAAATTCTATCAGTTGTAAAGTTCGGTACTCGGCATTAAGAGCATAGAATTTTAATTAGTATAATTCGTTATTATATTAACTTAAGCAAACATTTTAAAACAAGGAAAATAATTATTACATTAATTATACGATTGTTAATCAAAAAGTTAATGAATTTATTTTAAATAAGTACTATATCAATTTCTCTTCACAAATAGTATAATATAATAATACAAGAACCGATTCATCACTTTATGTGAACATTCATACTCTTAAAGTAAGTTCAAAAACTTTTTGACCATCTTTCATATTCACATATATAAGTATTTAAAACAAACTATCATAATAATGTGATGAAAATTAAAGTACAAGATCACAGGTGTACATCAATAAAAAAAACAAATGTTGACCAAAATGAAAATTAAAAAATGCACCTTCTTGCTTTTCTGTACCGTTAATGATAAATATTAATTGTATGTACATTTTTTTTACTTTATTTTCAAATATTTAAGACTTCCTTATTAATTCATACGTCAATGAACTCTCCAAAATATAATAAACTATACACAGCAGCCAAATATATATATATATATGTTTAATGTATTCTTGTAAGATCCTCCACTATTTTTACAAGATCATCTACCGTTGCTTCCTTTTTCATTCCGGTACCATCATCAATCTGTATAAGAAAAAATGCAATAAATTAAAAATATGAGTTAAATGTACACGTATACATGCTATATCGAACAACAAATTTATTTACCATAAGACCCATCGCAACTTCTGCCATTTTATCGGGACTCAAGTCAAGGAAACTTTCGATTAAATCTCCATCTATAAAACCTTCACTTTGTTCAATTTTTAATTCGGTATTAAAACTTCTCCAAAAGTTGTGTTCTATTTTACCAACGCTTTTAATTACGCTTGTTAATCTGTCCTCGAGATTTCGTAGAAATTCGTAAAATGTGAATGGAATTTGTGTAACTAGACCAATTGCACCACTAACAGTTCCAAATAACACGCACCCCTGTGTGGGTGTACTTGATTCGCCTAAATTTTGCATTACTAAAGACCCATGCCGGAAGACATTGACCATATCACCTAAATGAAATTGTCCAACTTCCTGCATTTGTTGTCTTTCATCTTCTGAAGTTGAAGCACTATAAAACAATAGTTACCTATCAGTTTATAGCATTAAAATATATATAAATAATTCGATGTCAGAACTTACCTATCTTTCTGACACACAAATAAATTAAAACAGTTTTCAGCGCCCAAGAAAGTGTCATCATCTAATATTTCAACAGCAGTCATCCAGTTTGGATTGTAATCTCTTGCTATTTCTTCAAAACTACCTTCCATCGTTTTATATTGTAACAATGTAAGAGACCTCATAAGATCTCCAACCAAAACGAAGTCTCCTTTTGTTTTTAAATACAGAGCAATAATGTTATTGAAATGACTACATTCCAGCCTGAGCTCTTTCTCTGCAGTCCATTCGAATAAACGAACGGTACTATTAATACTAGCGAGAAGTTTTCCATTAAATTCGATTAAAGAATAACACGATCCTTTGATCTCTTTTTCGGCAACTTGCGTGAGCTTTCCATCGTTCCAATGATATAGGAGTATTCTACCCATTTGTGGCTCACTTTCATCCGGATTAATGAAAGCAGTACCAACCACATAATAAAAAGTGGGGTCTTCGCCTAACTTGGTTGATATCAACGACAACGCGTACTCGCTAGGCATTAACATATGTGCATGTAAAACTTCGAAAGTATGTTGATCTATAATGAGTAAATTATGTACTTCGATTTCTTGACCAATATCGCTAGCTGTATGACCTGTAGGTTTATTATGCGATGCAATGTGACTATTACTAGATGTAGAAGCTGCTTGTGTAGATGCAGAATGCCTTACAATGCTAACACTGCTACTATCTTGGATATCAACGCGCATTGTTATTACCCCAAATGTTTGAGAGCTCTCTTGATAAGTAATTCGTCTTGGTGATTCTCCAAGAGGAACAGTTCGAATGTGCAATTTTTGTATTTCATCGATCGTTCCTATTGTCACGGTACTATCAGTCGCTAATGCTAAACTATCAGGATATGATTCTGCATTCAAAGAACACATGTGATTTACTTCTTTCAAGTTAACATTGCTGAATACTAGTTTATGATTAGACGAATAGATCACAGTAGGTCGATCAGAACATGCAAAAACGTTAGTGGTAGACAGCGATCTGAAAGTTCTTAAAACTGTTGGTTGTGTACCTAAGGTAACTTTTTTTTTATCTGACAGTATACCGCTCTGTTTATGTAAAGTGAAGTAATACATACTGCCATCTCCGAGAGCGCAAAGAAGATATGTATTGCCTTCAAAACATGTCATTAGAATAGATCTAGGTATAATTTCGCCTCCAAGTAATTCTTTATTGATTTCTTCCAGAGCAGGCAGAGTTAGTACACGGACAGAAATATCTGTCCATAAACCTACTGCAGCAATTACTGCCTCGGTATTCCCATCCAGTGGGGATAAATCTAAACACGCAACTTCGTACTGTAGAGTAGCAAATCCTTTTGGTAAGATCTGTCCACCAGAAATTTCCATGTAAAATAAATCATTTCCGGTAGCGCAAAGTACTTGTGTACCATTGCAAGCAACTACACTGATTGTTCTTTTATTTTCTGGTTCCCACTCGGAAACAACAGTCTTTGTATCGTGCGAAATCAACCTGGCAGATGTAGGTGTTATCTGAATAAATAAATCGTTTGTAACATTTCCAGTATGGAAAGTTTGCTCATCCGCGACAAAGCCTGGAATATCTGTTTCTTCGACTTCTTCTCCATTCAACATCAAAATTCTAGTTTGTCCCACAAAAGATAAAACTAGGGTATTGTCAAAATTGCCACCGCCGACTTTAAGCGCCCACATACCCTTGATGCCAGGTAAATCTATACTTGCATGTTCTTCAATACCAATTCCATTTCTGATAATTCTGAGAGAACCTTCTTTAAAAGCTCCAGAGCATGTGACCATCTGTCCCTGGCCCTGTCTTTCAAGGTCAACTACAGCCATGTCAACTATCGGCGCTAAGTTGGTAAAAGTTTCCATTGGAACACAATACGAACCATTTTCATCTGCTTTTGTAATTAATTTAATTAATTGAGAATCACCTAAACGACTACCAACGAATATTACTCCATTGTCTAGGTATGTAATGCATTCTGGTATACTGATTTCTCCTAAGAGCTCAACTTTTAAGTCTTTCACTACTTGTGTACCATCTGGCTTCTTTTCTTGTTCTAAGAACAACATAAATAAATGTCCGGCCATATCTCCTAATAAATATCTGAGTCCTTGGTTATCAACTTTAGCATAGCATGTAATTGTGCTCTGTTTAATGATTGGAGGTACAACAGCAACATACGTGGTTCCATCATGATATAATATACTTTCTTGCCCAATTATGATTGCACCACAAATGGGGGAGGGTACAGGAATGACCATCATGGCTTCACGCTCTACATTATCCTGTCGCCAAGGTATTTTAACAAATTCCTTATCTCTCAAAGAAATTTCATGTGTCTTGACATGCCTCCCATTAATATCTTGATGAATTAAAATTAAAGTAGGATTGGCACAGCCATGAAGAAAATTTACATCTTGTACTTGTTGTTCATCCATACGTATAGATGATGCTTTTAATTCTGGATTGTCCTTGTCAAGAGGTATGATTTTAAAAAGACCATCGTATAATCGAAGACCGATTACACGTGCTTTGGGATCAATTACAGCTTTAATTCCTGTCTCAGAAGCTTTCCCAATACGGTCTGCTACATTTCCATGTGCTTTTGTCATAATTTCTATATCCTCTCCTTCACCCATACATTCCAAAATCATAGCATTGTAACGTGTGGTTAAGACAAACAAAAGATCTTTCTTTTCATGCTGTAGAAATATCATAATTTATTAATTTCTAAATTTAGTTTTTCTTTATTAGTATCAATTATAATATATTATTATGGATTAATTTGATGTATTAATGTATCAAAGGGTTAACTCGTAATAAACAAACCAGTGTATCTAACATTAATAAGCAAAACAAAATACGAAAACAAACAATCTGTAAAATGCTTGAAACAAGAATAATCGTATAACCTTACCGGCGGTCTAAAAAATTTAACGACTGCAATTTTTCCATACATTCCAACCTCTTTCAGTGGTCTTAAACCTTCTGGGGTAACGAGGTAAATTTCTAATCGGACATTCTTCGCCAAAATAAGGTTCAGATCCGTAGGTGAGGTGAAATTACCTTCATTGATAAAAATAAAATAATTGTTTATCGTCGTAGACAGTTCCGTTTTTCAATAAGCTTTTACTCACCTGTCACACATGCGGTGACAGCCGTCGGCTTGTGTGCCGTAACTACATAGTGGTGAGACATTACTTTCATGTTATTCGTCCCAAAACAACTTTTATATATTTTGTTAACAGATCAATCACAAAAAAACATAGATACACGCAACCACATGCAACACGGACCAAATGCTGGCCTGGCCTTGCTTGCGTGCTTTTCAATATCATACGCCACGAAGTTGGCAACGTTTGGCAGGACACTAAGCTTCGTTCACAATGGACGCAGCCTTCAAATGAACGTTAAGCACTGTTTGTATTTTCATTCAAAATTTGAAATTTCGTATATCATAATTATTAAGAAATTAAATTTTGTATACGTAATGCAATATAATTTACGTAGTTTTTAGTTTTTATTTATTATACTAGGCCTGACTAGGCCCATTTTACGATCAGATATATTCATGTAACTCTTGCATTGTGTTTTAGGAGAATAACCATAATAAAAGAAAGAAAAACGAATTTTATTAAAAATTTAAAGTGCGAAATACTTTAATACATTGTATGTTCAGACCATAAACTAACATCTAATCTTATATCTTAGATCTATACAATTGTACAATAATGCTTAAACTCTTACAATATAAATTACACAGTTTTAACATTAAATTGTATTCTTTTATTGTATCTAAATGGGTATTTCATAATTCATTAGCTGATGGTCTGTAAAACAAATTTATACATTCAATATTTTTAAATGGCAGTTCATTGAAAACAAGCTGTTAAAGGAAAATTAGCTCGACAGTATTATAAGTAGCAGCGGATGAAGTAAGACAAAATAACGTTATAAGATGTATACTATTAAATGTGCAACTCTTGGAAATTTAATAAAGCGAATAACAATGTAATCTGCACTAGTTTTGCTCTTCCATTAGGTTGGGTATGTATTTCTTACTTTGTTACACATTCAAATTTCTTACACAAAGGGCTCTTAAAAGAAATATGGGAAGTAAATCACAAGAACATATTCAATGATGTACTAAGGTTGTATAACCGACATCAGGAAGAGGATCTTTTGTTGCTTAAATGCAACCAAATTGATTCACACCAGTCTTCTCATTAGATCATTAGGCTTAAATCAAATATGAAGGACCAATGACATTTAATTTGACTCGTATGTTGATTCTTCAAACATTGAATAGACTTTTAATATAAAAACAGCTCTTTATAATTTATGTGGGAAGGCCATTAATTTCTTGAATAGTTAAATGACCATTTGAGAGATTAACCGGTGTCACGGATTCTTTAGAACTCTCACTCGAGCTTGTATTACAACTATTACTTTTACTATCAGTACTAGACACCGAACTGTCTCTTCTTTGACTACTTTCGTGTCTAGTATATCCCACATGGTCTGGATTCGAAAGAGGACAACTACATCTGCTCCTATTTCCATTACTTGTACTATCACTGTCGCTTTCGCTATCAACACTTGAAACTACACTGCCATGTCTTTGAGCCCTCAACGATTCGTTTTCTCGCTTTAGTTGTTCATTTTGTTGCATTAAATCGTCAATTCGCTGTTGACATATTTTTAACTTTTTCGCCGATTCTGAATCCGTACTACTACATCTGCTTTCTAAATCTCGCTCTTCCATCTGGTGAAAATTTTTACCGCGTAATCGTTTCGTCAATAAATCTACTTTGGCCTCTAATTGTAGATATTCCTGTATCAATTCTGATTTACTTAATGTGCTTAACCGCTCCGCGTGAAGATCTTCGTAAGCTGTTGAAAATTCCTTTGTCAAGAATTCTTCCTCATCCTCTGGAGACGAATAAAAATAATCTTCGTCGGAGTCGACGCTGAAACTAGAGTCTCGCGTACGAGACGGAGCTATCGGTTTTTGAAACGTAGCCGGAATTTCCGACGACGCGGCTTCTGAAAGTTTTTGGTCAAGATCTGGAAGATCGCTGTGATCATCCATAAGAAACTGTGTAGTGTTATATGGTGCTGGAGGTTGTCTACCAGTTTTTGCTAGTCGACCTCTAGATCTATATCTCAGCTGTTGTTGATAAGACAATTGCTGTTTTGAATACGGTTTTAATTTTCTATGCTTAGGTTTACCTCTACGCGTCTTTCTTTTCTTTGCCGCGATATCAATTCCATCCTCGTACTGGCACCCTTCTTGATCGCCACTACCACTTCCACTTTCAAATTTTCCCGCTTTTTTTACCAACGATTTAACGCACTGAAACAAAACAAATTTGTTACATTAACGGTTAATATACGAACCATTTTAAGTATTCTATCGTGTATATTATATTTCGAAAAAAAGAGAAGCGATTCTATTTGCATCGAAAATAGATCGAAATGTACGATTTATAATGTTTACTTGGCGAAATATGACGAGTAAGTTTTATTTACGATTAATTTCAGTTAGAATAATTTGTTAAACAGCTACTACGAAAATTAATTTATGAAACGGAATTCTAGAAAATTTTTAAATTTAATCTCTAACGTAATATAATACTTTTAAAAAATATTTTCATAGGAGGCATTTTATATCTTACAGTTTTCCCATTAACATGGTCGCCCTCCTTGATATATTCACCAGTAGAGTGCGATACTTGTTCCGTAGCTGGCAACGATGACGCCGCAGGCGTCGGCTCCGCTTTTACGCCCTTCACGTCACGTACTTCATCAATGCCGCCCGACACTTTCTCTGTCGTTATCTTGACATTATGATCCTCCATATTCGTAATATTGACTAAAATTCGACGATTCGCGGTGGTACAAGCACACATTACCGTTAAAAACACTGCCTCATCCAGCAATACTCGGCGCTCCCGTTCTACAAACCGTACGCCTTCACCGCAAACAGCGACTGAATCGCCATGTTTGATTTGTCCGTGATTCCGTGCGATAGCGAAGCGCGACGTGCTAACGTTTTAGGGGAAGTGGGGGGGGAGAACGGTCCGAAAGGTGGGGCAACGTATTTGTCCCCACCGAGCCTCCCCACTACGCCGACCGCATCAGCACACCGCCACACACCGCACTCCGCGTTCTGCCTCGGCCACTGCCGTTGCTCCCCGAAAGACTATGGCGACTCGTCTCTTGCACACTGCACCCTTACACCGTTAATTTCATGTTTATTACGTGCAGAGAACGAAGGGAACGAGAAGCGGTGGCAAGTACATTCTGCTGGGAATGCATACGTATCGGTAATGATAGGATTTTCATTTGATTCTACGTATGTGAATGTCTTGTATTTAATCTTGCGAGCGAAAATTCGATCGAAACCGTAGAAAAGTTAACATCGAATTTTTCCAAATTATCACATCGTAGAAACATTAACGATATCGTACACTTTTTTTTTTTACAAATTAAGAAACGTCTCTAAAGTTAATTTCGCGACGACGTTCCTGTGACTTTGTTCGTTGTGCTTGAAGTACGTGCATGCAATAGTCGCGTTACTTCGATATTTTCCTATACATATATCTACTTCTCTGTAACTTCACCAAATAGAAACCTTTGGTTCTGGCAGTGCTCGATCGAATCGGGTAAACTCGGCTTGTAAATCGTAAATAGAAAGTGGTTGTCTTTCCGCGGAGCTACTGGTATTTAATTAGAAGTAACGTTTCTACGAGTTTCATGCGAAACGTACAACGAGGTCCGTTTCATTGCAGGTTCTGTTCGTGTGTTAACACTTTTCTATAGTGCGTTCGCAACGATAAATGCATTTTTATAACGCGGCATAGTTCTCATGTTCACGATCTATCGCGAACAGCTATGGAGACTCGAAATATTTTTCAACGAAAATCTTTCACGACAAATATCACTCTTAATAATATTAATTAATACAAATTTATTGTTTGTACCGAGAATACTTTTCGCGTTATTTCCTGCGATTTTGTAGCTTACATAAGATAACAAAGTAGAACATGCGTACTTAGGAGCTAATACTTGGTTGCAAGGTCCGTCGCGTACTGAATATAACGAAATCAATTGTTAGAATCCGTAATTTAGTTCGTATTCCTTAAAAACTACTGTTAGTGATTCGTAAATACAAATATATAAAGTAAATACAGGGTGTCCCAGAAATGTTGTAACACCTTGAAATGTGTGGTTCGGGAGGTGATTTGAAACAACTTTTTCCTTAGCGAAAATGTTGTCCGAGGCTTCGTTGAGGAGATATTAACGGAAAACACTGACCAATCAGAGCGCGCGTATACCGTTGGAGCGGTCACGGTAGCGAAGGCTACGCGCTGAGCGGCCGCGCTCGTATGCGAACAAGTGACTCGACATGCATCGAAGGACCTTGACGCGGCCGTTCAGCGCGTAGCCTTCGCTACCGCGGCCGCTTCAACGGCATCCTCGCGCTCTGATTGGTCAGCGTTTTCCGTTAATATCTCCTCAACGAGGCCTCAGACAACATTTTCGCTAAGGAAAAAGTTGTTTCAAATCACCTCCCGAACCATCCATTTCAAGGTGTTACAACATTTTTGGGACACCCTGTATAACGTATCACGAAGGTAGCTACATTGTTTGTTAAATCGATGTGTTTGACGCGATACATACATGTCGACCTACTTTGCACTGTAAAGTTTGCATGTAGTTACATGCACATAATTGTATTATGGCTTATTATACGCACTCAATTTCATACTTGAAATCGGATAGCTACACGCAGATTTCCTTTCACACGTTACATACCCTGAACAATAACTTTCATCTGGATTTTTGAATTCGTATCGAAAAGCCCGTTTACGTTCCACTAATAACGCTCGAAACAACATAATTGCACGAAAGCAGCGTACGACATCTGTACATTCGAGAACTTTGTATTTTACTATCCGATATAGCTTTTAACAGTATAGTTTCTCGATGTCCTGTTGTAACCGTGGATCGGTGCAATATTACTACAGGTTATACGGTGAAATTAATGGTGGACCAGCGGGTAGCAAGTATTACGCGTAGAAATATATTTAGCGATGTTAATTTGATGAGATATCCGCTCCAGTCAAACGGCGCTTCGCCGATTGCATACTTACTAACGTTGCACCAAGAAACAACGAATTAGCTTTCGCACATACCGAATAAAAACGACAAAATCCGTACAAACGATTTCCCTTGTTCGTTCAATGCATGTGTTATCGATCGTAGCTGTATACAGACATGTTTGCTACCGTACGATTCGGAATAATTAGCTGTCGCGTTTTGAAAACAGAAATGGAACGTTTATGGGCGATTTTCTCCCAACGTTCGATAAATATATCGATCATAACCGATGCGCTTCTATTACGTAATTGGATATAATAAACTTTTGTTTGTTACGAATTTACATGAAACAACGAACGATTATTTGCCATATTTTTCTATCCAAATATTGATCTTAGCACGATGACTCGATACCTTTGTACGTGTTTAATTCGTTCTAAGAGATTTGAAACAAAAAGGAGTGCTGCGAGACTACTTGCGAGACTACTAGATACCGAAAAAAAAAAAAAAAGAAATGTTATAATTGGTATAATGGAAATGTTATAATTCCGACGCTTAATACAACGCCAATTGAAAAATATCCGTTGATTACTTTCGATAGTGACGATAAACTATACATAATACGTGAGAGAATTGCATGTAATACAATAGTGTGTACTGGCTATTCAAGTATGGAACACAACATACGTGTCTAGCGTAACTATAAATACGTCCTCTATGTAGGAGACTCCTGTACCACCTTCGTAAGACTTTTTTTCTTGAAATGTACATTTTTGTACTCGAATTGGTAGCGTACGTGCGTGTACATACACGTACTTGAATCGAACGCACGTATTCATATACATGTACGAGTGTTTACCTAAATTTGACGTGTATACGATTAAAAACCCGACGTAAATAATCATTTGATATTTGACGTTTGTAGGAGAAACATATTGTCACGTGTGAAAACAAACTCGGAATGCTACATGGCTCGTTAATTCTCGCGGGTTATACGGTCAGAAAAACCTTGGAATTTACATTTTCATAAATACCCTCGGTTGCCATAACGTTCAAGAATAAGAGGGACTGTAAAAATTCATAAGCAAAATAATGGACGAAACGAATAGTAAAATACGGAACGTGACTTTGTCCTGCACGGTTCAATCCGTCTAATAGCACTTCTCCAGAGTGGATTGGTTATGTGTACATAAAAGCACTTCTTCCACGCACTATCTTCGTTCGAAACCTACTTCTCGTCGAGTTCTCTCCATGTAAATGCATTCTAGTGCAAAAAGCATAGAGCTGTGTCGTGGCTGATCGTCGTGAATCGTGTGTCACAGTTCGTAACGAAATAGAGAAACATCGTTCCTTCTCGATCCCACCGAAATCACCCCTCTATCTTCCTGTACTTCGTAACTTAATTTCAGCTTACGTAATTCTAATTGCAAGAAGACCCCAGATGCGACACGAATTTTATACGCGTGTGTAATTCAATCGGACGGGCAAACGTTTATTTCGCGATAAATACCTTTGTAGAAATTTTATTTTCGATCTATATGACGAACGATTATTTCTTATGTAATATGCACGTATTAACTTATAGCAGGTATAAGGTCAACAACCAGTTAGTCAAGCTATGATAATGAATTACAATTAAGCATGTTAATGTACGCGTTACGAAATAGGAGTTTCTTGTACAGTAGATTACGCACACACACACATATATATACATATATAATCAAGTGTTTTAATCAAGTTTAATGTGTGCATAAGTGTGTAGGTAACTTTAAAAGATCGCTGTATATACACGATACAAACATGTTTACGTATACACATGTGCATTACAGGATAAGTAGTATTCAACATTTAACTATACTGCTATCTATAGGAAAGAAATGGAAACACGTTGTTCGAAAACTGGCCTGGTATAGTATTCAGAAAATGGAAATAATATCAATGCATAAATACATTGTATATTAAATGTACTGAAATAATGTACACATAGATCCATAATTGATAAAGTTTTATTTTGTATTAATTTCTTATTTATATATACGTATTTTATTTCCTTTTTTTTGTAGGAATCTAATAATTATACAAAAATAGTTATGTAAAAGTTACTTATAACAAATATCATTAAGTTATCACTTTACATCTATAATAAATTATGCGAGTAAAACTTTAAATGCTTTTGGACATAGTCAAAGAATATAAAGCTAATTTGTTTATAAATTTATATATTGACAAAAAAAAAAAAAAAATATATATGTACACGTATCTAAATGAAGTGCTAATATATAACTAAAAATATTAAAGATTACTACTATAAAATATAATAAAAGAATATAAACTTACACTATCGGTAGAAATATTATTTGCAATATATCTTGAAAAAGTTATAGTTGAAAATTCATTCGACTATAAGCTCATGCTCATCTACTTCTGCAAATGTTCTGTTAATGTCCTCGATCCATTTGATTACATTTTTATTATCCTTTTCTTTCATATTATTAGCTCTTTTTCGTTTTACTTCATGTTTCTCCAAATTTTCGTCTTCTCCTTCGTCACTTTCATCCGAAAAACTGAATTTCACATTACGTTTCCGTTTATACGAATGTTTTGGAGGCTGAAAAAATAAACATAAATAAGATTTATCCAAGGCCGTTGTTAATTATTATTAAAATTGAATTTTAATAGTTACGTGTAATACCTGTGTAAAATGAGATGGCTCCAAATCCATAAACAGTGGAACATCAGATTTATTCTGTGTTGAAGTTTCATCTAACTCAGACAAAACATCGAATGTATCCGAGAAGTTAGTAGCATCTATTGGAATGTGATTTTGTTTCACTTTTGCAGGTGATTTTCTTAATTCTATTTCTTTATTCTCTACATTTTCTTTATTTCTCACAATTTTCCTTGATTGTTTCGGTAAAAAATTATTTTGTATGTCTTTAATCGTTTTTTTTTGGAATGGTTTTAAGTCGCGTTTTTCTATATCTTTCGCATTTTCGTTGTTATGTTCAGTGAAAGATATGTCTTGATTAAAATTATCGTCGTTAAAACCAAATGCATTTTTTAAATCCATATTAAGTTTATTATGTTTCCTTATCGATTTGCTACTAATTGGCGTCGAAGGTGCATCGTTAAAAATTCCGTGAGGTGTTTCAATTGCAATTTGTTGTGGTTTTTCCATTACGTTTAAAAAGTTATTTAAATTTGACTGTTTTAATATCCTTTGTTCGCTAAAAGGTACATTTTTTTGCAAGCCTGATGGCCCAGGTTGAGGATCTAAATTTTCTTTTTGTTCATAGTTTTCCGCGCTCCGAATTTTTTGAGGACTTATAGTTTTCTTTTTTCTTGTCTTCTTAAGAACTTTTTTGGGGCTTTGATAATTTAACACCGAATTTTCTTTATCTTCAGTATCATTAGACTTGAAAGTATTACTCGTATTAATCACATTGATTGATGGAACACTTGGTTGTAAATTTTCAACGTCACTTATTACTCGTTCGTTTATTTCGTCCCCCAAAGGAGATTGTACAGAGTGATCTACATTTGTGATTTCTGTACCAAATTTTCTTGAAATCAAAGGATGTTTTCTTTTGATATTGTTAGTATTTACATATCCTTCCATGCTTACATTTTCGTCATTTTTGAGTAAACTATCTTTTGCTGTTGTAATATTTTCACAACTTTTAGATTCGTTATTTATTGCACGTGATAATCTATTCCCATAAATTTCATATTTATTGTTTTGTGGTGTACTTTGAAATACATTCTTCACTTGAGAAAATGTAAATAACGAAGGGGGTGCTCTCCAGGGGCTATTTAGATCGAAATTTTCGGATGATTTTATAATCGGCGATAAAGATTTATCGAATAGCGAATTATTTAACATGTTTTTATGTTGTACCAGGAATTTATTGTTAAAAATATTTGTTGGTCTAAATGGCTTAAACTCATCTGACTTTGATATTTGTGAATTATCCATTAATGTAATATTTTTATTAGGCAAACATTCTATTGATTTAATTGTTGGCCTCGTAATTTCATTACTTGTAGTTTTTTCTGCATTGGTATTTGTTAGTTCTTTATTCAATGCTACATTATTTTTTACACATTTATCAGAATCATCTTTGACTGGATTTTTAATCAAAGGTTTTACACAAATTTGTTCTTTTAAAGGTTCATCTTTCTCGTGAATTACTTCGGATTCCACATTTGTTAATTTTTCTTTAACTTCACCTTTTTGTGTATTGCGTGTTTCAGGAATATTTTTCTTTTTACGCGTAACCGTTTTCTTAGCAACAGTACGCTTTTTCTTCCTTTTCTTTGGTAACCTTTCTTTAGAATCATTACTATCAAATTTGAATTCATAAATTTCACTTGCATTTTTGACAGAAGTTTCAGGTGAGACATATTTATAAATTGGCATTGTTTTTAATTCCTTTAGTAACACAATACTAGAGCGTTTTCTGGGCGACAGATGTTTGTTTACTAATGAATCATCATCCTGGTAATTCTTAATATTTCGACGAGGACGTAACCGTTTTATTTTTGACTGATTTAAAAACGATTCTTTCAACGATACTTGCCGCAAAATAGAATCATTTTTATTTACCTTTTTGCTAATCTTTTTCGTAATACTTTTTGTTTGATTCTTACGTGTATTCGAAACATTACGTGGTGCAACATTTTTTATTTTTGCAGGTACTTCCTGGCCAGTACCTTTTCTTAAGTTTTTACGTTTTACAATAGTTTGATCTTCTTTTTTAGTAACAGGTTTTACTGCTTCCGTTGAAATACCAACCTCCTTCTCAGCCATTGTATTTCTTGACAAAATTGCTGATCGGGTATTTCGTACTTTAGAAGAGGCATTTTCCTTTGAATCTTTGTTGGTAACAGATTTTGTATCTCTTAAATGTGATGCACTACTCCTTGATTGTGACTGTTGTGAATTTGCAACTGATGAGGTTTGTTTTCTTCTTAAACAAGGAGGCATATCTCCATAAGGTGTATTTAAATCTGAAACAAATATTTATGTGAATGAATAACAAGTAATATTTATAACTGATTATGAATATGTTAAAAGTACTGAAAACGGTTAGAAAATGCAACGTGATATGAAAATTTAATATGTCATTACCATGTTTAATAAACACAACCATGTTTAATAAATATATTTGATAGTATTCGAAAAAAAAAATAATTTATATCTATTATACCAATGACTCTGGTGAGATATTTCTGTCAGTTTTCATAAATAATTGAAAACTCGCGATTCTGGAACTTTCTTTCGTAAATAATTGCAACAATCTGTTACACTTGCGTCTACATTCCGAGAATAGTAAGCAACAAAGTGCCAGCAAAATGAATTCTTCGATCAAAATGTTGCAATAATTCTACAGTGAAGAGTATCTTTAAACATATGAAATTACTTACTTCGACGAAAGCATCAAAATAGTGGCACAGTATTGTTAGTTAAACGATTCATCTACGATTTAATGTGAATCACGTATTCTACTTTCTCTTTTCTTGTATGAATCAATTACAATTCAACAATAATGATGCGAAAATACAGCGTGTATTGTAATTGTATACGTTTGACAAACAGAATACAAACAATGACAAACAACGTAGAAAATCGCACGTAATCGGCGTAGAAATTATGTAAAAATATATACTAGATTGGAACAGCATGTAAAAAATCAAACATCGTTTCTATGTGAACAGCCCATAGCTGTTTCGAGTTCTGATTGGCTAGATCGCCATTGAATAAGCAAAACTTGTAGAAGTACTTGTTCTACACACCACCAGAGGGCCACTCCTTGATTTTCTTCTTGCAATTATTTCATTTGTTATGGACATTATAAAAAATAAATTGTTGCAAAGAGTTGTGTCCTTTATGGATTATTCGCATGAACTTTGTAAAAACTGTTGAAGATGTCGCTTCTCCTAATCTCATTGTCTATGTTGAAACATTCGAGAGAAAATCTTCCGTTTCCCGCCAAATTTATAGCGGCCTATACTACTGTTTACTTTATGTATTATATATTATTTTAAACGAATTATAAACAATGGAAGGGTTCGACGACCCAGGAATATTCTTTTCCGATAATTTTTCAGTAGGCGATACTCATGAATCTCAGACTAATCTCCAATTTTTCAAAAAGAAATTTATGGAGTTTATTAGGCAATTTCACGAAGGAAATTTTAACTATAAATACAGGTACTTAAAATTTTGCTATTCTAACGTAGATTTTTGTTAAGATAACTATGGTATTTATTTTTTAGAGATACTTTGAAACGCAATTACAATCTTGGTCAGTATTGGGTGGAAGTTAATTTGGAAGATTTAGCAGCTTTCGATGAGTCTCTTGCAGAGAAAGTTTATAAACAACCAACAGAATATTTACCAATATTGGAAGAAGCTGCAAGAGACTTGGCTGATGAACTTACTGCTCCAAGACCCGAAGGGGAGGAGAAAGTTGAAGACATACAAGTATTATTGTCTTCGGACGCTCATCCAAGTTCTTTGAGAGGCATGAAAGTAAAATTCATTCTTTAGATTTTTTTATAATAATAAGAAATATATATAAAATTTCTCATATTAAAATGCATTGATCCTATTTAGCCTGATGCAGTTTCTAAGCTTATCAAAATACCTGGCATTGTTATTTCTGCATCTGGAATTAGATCAAAAGCAACAAAGATTTCTATACAATGTCGCTCTTGCAGAAACATGCAAACTAATATTTCTATCAAGCCTGGTTTAGAAGGATATGTTTTGCCTAGAAAATGTTCAACGTAAGTTTGCTTTAATTGATAATATATTTTGTAAATGACGTCAATAACATTACACATAACAAATTAAACATATTTAAAGATATCATTCAATATATTTGCAATTGTTTTTAAACAGAGAACAAGCAGGTCGACCAAAATGTCCATTGGATCCATTTTTCATAATGCCAGACAAATGTCATTGTATTGATTTTCAAGTTCTTAAATTACAAGAATTACCAGATCAAATACCGCAAGGTGAAATGCCACGCCATTTGCAATTGTATTGCGATCGTTATTTATGTGACAGAATTGTACCAGGCAATAGAGTTCTCATTTTGGGAATATATTCTATTAAAAAGGTTACTAAAGCTGCTACTAGAAATGCAGCAAAAGATAAAACATTAGTCGGCGTTCGAGCTCCATATATAAGAGTTATTGGTATTTCTGTGGATGGAGAAGATACAGGCAGTGGTACTCATCCAACTGTTACAAATGAAGAAGAAGACTTATTTAGACGTTTAGCTGCAGATCAAAATTTATATGAAAGAATTGCAAAAAGTATAGCACCGAGTATCTTTGGTGTATTGGATATTAAAAAAGCTGTAGCATGCCTACTGTTTGGTGGATCTAGGAAAAGAATGCCTGATGGTCTTTGTAGAAGAGGAGATATTAATATTTTAATGTTGGGTGATCCTGGTACAGCTAAGTCTCAATTACTAAAATTTGTGGAAAGAGTCGCGCCAGTCGCGGTTTACACATCTGGGAAAGGAAGTTCAGCAGCTGGTCTAACAGCATCAGTCTTAAGAGATCCAGTAACTGTAAGTTACTAACATTTTTACTTTTAATTTATATATATACACGTGTAGTTTTCATGAAGAAATTTTGCTTAATTTATAGAGAAATTTTATTATGGAAGGAGGTGCTATGGTTCTTGCAGATGGTGGTGTAGTCTGCATAGATGAATTCGATAAAATGAAAGAAGACGATAGAGTCGCGATACACGAAGCTATGGAACAACAAACAATATCGATTGCAAAAGCTGGAATAACTACAACACTGAATACTAGGTGTTCTGTTCTAGCGGCAGCAAATTCGATATTCGGTCGTTGGGATGATATAAAGGGGGAAGAAAATATAGACTTCATGCCAACGATTTTATCGCGTTTCGATATGATATTCATCGTTAAAGATGAGCACGAGCAAAATAAGGATATAACGTTAGCCAAACATGTGATGAACATTCATACAAACGCTGGTCAAATTACGGAAGTGTCCGCGGAAGGAGAGCTACCGTTGCATATACTGAAGAAATATATTCACTATTGCAGAACGTAAGACCTTATTACTTCAAAAGAAATTTCTGATTTCTAATTAGTTTATATGTCCTAATAGACGTTGCGGTCCGAGACTTAGCAAAGAGGCAGGAGAGAAATTAAAGAATCGTTACGTAGTAATGCGAGCCAGCACGAAAGAACACGAGAAGGATACTGAAAAGAGATTATCTATTCCCATAACCGTCCGCCAATTGGAAGCTGTTATAAGAATTTCGGAATCGTTAGCGAAAATGCATTTACAGCCGTTTGCCACGGAACTCCACGTCAACGAAGCTCTCAGACTTTTCCAAGTTTCTACTTTAGATGCTGCAATGTCCGGATCGTTAGCTGGTAATCTAAAATTAATTAACTAATATGTATGTACTTATTCTTAGCATGCTTATACATCAAACATAAATAACAATTTAATAGGCGCGGAAGGATTTACCTCGGACGAAGATCACGAAATGTTGTCCCGCATCGAGAAACAGTTGAAACGTAGATTTCCGATAGGAAATCAAGTATCCGAACAAAATATTGTCAAAGATTTTGTAAAGCAAGCGTATCCAGAACGTGCTATTTACAAAGTTATACACACAATGATACGTCGTGGAGAACTTCAGCATCGTATGCAACGTAAAATGTTATTCAGACTCCAGTGAAATGTAAGGATACATTCTTTTTTTTTTCTATTTAATGTACTATGTATTTTTCATTTTATTATTATGATATTGTGCATTTACGCGTGGTGTATGTCATAAATTTCCAATGTATAAATATACAAGAACACAAACTATATATCGATAATTGTTTCAGTTACGATACTAATTCGTCCTTAAATGGATAATGCGGATGATTTTCGACTCTGAAAAAAATTATTTAAAAAATGTTAGACCTTTTTTTTTTTTTTTTTTTTTTTACCAAATTGAATGAATCTACATACCCTTTAAAAAATAGGAAGTTAAAGATTCTTCCACTTGCACCCTTATCTAGAGTTTTTAAACGTGCCATATCTTCTTCCATTAATGCAAAATCAAATACGTCAATATTTGCCTTAATCCTTTCGGGAGATGAGCTTTTCGGAATTACAGCAACGCCCAATTGTAATAAGTATCGTAGTAAGATTTGTGCTGTAGACTTTTCGTATTCTGTGCTTATTTGTTGTACTATTGGATGCCCTAAAATATCTGGAAATTTTTCTAAATCAACATGGTATTTCGTTTTGAAGTGCACTTTAGCTCCTGGTGATCCAAGAGGGCTGTAAGCTGTTACAACGATATTGTGCACCTGACATAATTCTCGGAGTGAATTTTGTTGTAGATACGCGTGTAACTCCACCTAATAACAATTAAAGCAGTATCCGTAAATCGATCCATTCGGTATATAAAATATTTGTCTCGGTTTTTTAATGCCTACTTGTAAGTTACTTGGCTTAATTTGGGCATTTTCCCATATCTTTATCACTTGTTCCTCGTTAAAATTACTTAAGCCTATGGATTTTGTACGACCTTTTCTTACTTGCTCCTCCATTTCCTAAAAGTTTTGTAAGAATAATTATTTATACTTTATTAACAAATAATTGATTAATATTGACGTAATGTTAAACCTTCCACACTGAAACAGGATCTGTATCAAGATCTAATACATAACTTCCATCTTCGTGTGTTGCTGGAGCACAAGCAGATTCATTCAGTTTAAAAGCAAAGGGCATATGAATTAAGTACATATCCAAATAATCCAAACCAAGTTTATTTAATGATAACTTGATATACTTTTCCACATCTGATGGACGATTACCATAATGGGGTAACTAAAAAAAAAATAAATGTTTCCTACATTTAGCATACACAAAAATTATTTTTGTATCTTGTAATAGACATTACCTTTGTAGTAATAAAAAGATCTTCACGTTTTCCACCTTCTGCAAACCATTTCTTTAAAACTGCCCCAATTGCTTCTTCATTATTATAATTAAATGCTGTATCGATATGTCTGTAACCAATGTTCAAAGCAGCTGTCACAACAGTTTCTATTTCTTCAGGTTTAGCCTGCAAGGAAAGGAAAAATTTTATAGCACTCTCATAATATATTTAAGTCTGGTTTCAATGTTACTTATTATCAAATCACCTGCCATGTACCCAAGCCCACAGTAGGCATATCATATCCTGACAACAATCGTACCAAGCGCATAGTTTTTTCTTTTGATTGACCTAATGCTATGAAAGATAATTGTTAAAATCCTTTGAATAATTTACTATACTATTATTGTCAACTGCTATGTGTTTGTAACTGTTTTTAATAATGTATTATTTTTAAGTATACAAGAATTAACTACTTTCTGGTTGTGCTATTTAGATACAAAATCAATTTCTAAAGTTAGATCAGCCTTGTACTGTTCTGAATACATATGTCCACGTTTTCAGAGGAACAGAGCTTGTAACATATATCTCATAGAGACACATATTGATCTGTAGCGAATTTTAAAGGTAACATTTTTTCGAAGTTCCGAACAAGCAATTTCTGCGCGACGATAAATGTTGATATTTTTAAAAGTATATTTCGATTTATATTTCCATTTAGCAATACAAAAAGAAAATTTAAATAATCCAGTTACTATGCTCCACGTCGTAATATAAACTTCAGAAGAGAGTACTTTGAAGATCTTCAAAATAAATATTTGATCTAGAAATATTAAATAAATTAAATGTTGTAACATACACGATGATGGAATTGAGTATCGTCGTTTTGTTACGAATAAACAATTGACAAATTGATATTTTATAGATGGACAGGTTAGTCCATAATGGGTTAATATGTAATTCATACGTAAACATTTGGAAAACATTGGAAAGCTTTTTCGAAATTGTAAGATTTATGGAAATATTGATCCTAATAGCAAATTCGTAATAGTGAATGCGTATTAATTATAGATACGCGATGGAAAGTTATGAAATACTTTTCCCGCGCTAAGTTGCCGAACGAAATGTTTATCGATATTGCGTGGTCGATATTTTTTCTAGCCTCAAACTTTAGAACATAAAACATTTTTTGAAATATAATTTGTAAAATACTGACAACTGGTACATACAACATTTCGAGCGTTTAATTTTTGGTATTAAAAAAGAAGAGCTATGTTATTCGTCTTAAATTCGTGTTAAATATCATTTTATTTTGCAAAAGTTAGTCGATCGTAACAGTTGGCAACACTGCACGTCAGTTACAGTAAACTACTGATAAGTACTTCAAGGCGAATGCGTGTTTGATTACATTCGATGTAAAACATGAAAACTTTATTATATTCTTGTATAGTTGACAAAAAGAGAATATTTTAGTAGAATTTATGACTGAACGATCTAGATCTTTAACGTATAAACATGTTAATTTACGATGTTATGCACAAAGAAGCAGTATATCATTCAGTTGTTAGCAATCTTCGTAATTATGGCGTTAAATATCGGTTTAAAAAGAGTATGTTTAAAACCGAAAGAGTCGAAGGAATTAAACATATATCGAAGAAAGTTTTCAAGACTCCTTTGTCGTATCAACCGTTGGACGTTGTGAATCTGTCTTCGGGTGGTATTGTGCACGTGCCAGTTTTTGTCAGTCAAGCTGCAACGTTTTTAGAAAAACATATCGTTCAAGAAGGGTTGTTCAGAAAGGCGGGATCGCAACTTCGACAAAAAGAATTAATAGTTCGTTTAGACAATGGTGGAACCTTGGGAGAAAAGCATAATGCAATCGACGTAGCAAATTGCTTAAAGACCTTCTTTAGAGACTTGCCGGAACCGTTAATTCCCTTTACTTATCATGATTTATTTGTGCACTGTGCCATGCTTAAAGTTTATCGTGTACAAGCATTATTGTTAGCTTGTATCCTTCTGCCACCACATCATCTCAATACTCTGGCATTTTTCATGGAGTTCTTGAGGAAGGTATCATTGTATGAAAAACAGAATAAAATGAGTATCGATAATCTAGCAAAAGTTATTGGACCAAATATCATGCCTCTGCAGGAAGCAACCATGTCAGCTGTACAAATGCGTCTTGAATTACATTTTATTGTCGTCAAGGTAATACATTTATCTTAATAAATTATAAATTTTAGTGATATTAGATTGTATTCATTCTATTCTATAAACATTATTATAGACTTTAATTGAAAATGCAGAGGGTATTGGAGTGTTACCAGATCATATAATGCAAGCTATTTCTATGGAAACTATTGGAAGCACAGATAATGAATTAGATGTGTCTGATTCTCGTTCAAAATCCAGAAAAAAGAAACACCGCAGTGGAAGCCTTACACGTAAGCCACATCTAAGTGCTTCCAACCTCAATCTAAGTATGTCTGCGAATCTGTTCATAGGAGTTTATTTCCTTAATAATAAACTTTCATTGCATGTAATAAAAAATAGGATGCCAATTTTTCAAGTATACATACATATACATAACTTTTTAATTTAGATAACTTGTTTGTTTAGGAATGTTTAATGGTTTAAAAAAGATTGTTGGCAAGAGTACTATACCTGATGATGATAATACATCTGATAATCAGAGACTTTCTGGAAATTGTGATTTGTTACAAGCATCAAATAATAAATCTATAAAAAAAAGAAAAGTTGTTGAACGCTTGGATCCCTCAAGTACAAAGAAAAAGTGAGTGTTTAAATGTGACTGCTATGTATAATGTTTAAATTTGTTTTTATTATTTAATCTCTGTTTTAGAAGAGTTGTAGATAAAGCAGATAAATCCAAAAAAATGAGACTTAGTCTGGATCGTTTTGTACCAAGGAAGCCAGTAAGGATATTTACATATCTTGTTTAATAATCCATGTATATTTTTTATACATTTTATATTTTATTTTTTTTAGAAAACTGTAGACGAAGATCCAGAATCATCTACAAATAATTTTGATTCATATACAGAACGACGTTGGAGTTCTGTTTCTAATACGTGTGATTCAGAAAGAAAATGTAGAACGTATAGCGACGGTTCCTCGCAATTAAAATTAATTTTAAAAGATAACGAAGCAACAAACGAACTTCACACAGAATATAATAATATGTTCATTGATGCAGATGTTAATTTATCAGACGATAGCGACGAGCAGGTCTTGTTAACAAAAAAAGATGATAATAATATTAATAAACGTCAAAAGCACTTGAGTTCAAATTCGGAAGAATTACAAAGTTTAAATAATTTCGATCAAATGCACTCATACCCGTTACAAGGAAAGCTGACTTTAAATAACTTTGAAACATATTCACACCTGGAAGTCACGTCTATGGGCAACGAATCCGAAGAATACGTTACGATACCTAAAAGCGAATACGAAGAAATTAAAAATAGGGTTTCAGCAATTGAATCGCGACTTTCTCAAGAGTTCGGTTGCGTAAATAATGAGGAAACCGCGAGTTTGTCGCCACATTCTGTGAAAAAAGTACAAACTGCATATGAAAAAACATTAGAAGAATCTTGTATCGAAAGTACAGCGACGACAGATTATTTAGCTAGAAAACTTGGAAAGGAGCTCAAAATAAGAAGATCAGGCGAGCATAAGATCATAAGATCTCCTAGTGCTCGGAAGATAGGTAGTCTAAGAAGACGATCGCAAGACAGGATTATGAGGTGAATAAATCGTAATTTTATAATAATTTTTATTATTTATAAAAATTGTTTAATCTTTTTTTTAATTCGCAGTAAACGCGTTAGACGAACCGCTTCATGGCATATTTCTCATGGATCGAATTTACAGCAACTACAATCTAACCAAGAGTCAAATAATGGTTATCTTCATAATGAAGAAGCATTTTTGTCAAATCGTACAGAAGATCGCGCCCATTTACGACCTGTGTCTACCTCGCTTTGGGAAGAAGAAAAAAATAAAGCCGTACTGAATAATGTACGCAACGAATTTAATAGTGGAAAGATATATCCAACAAAACACGGTGTAAATTCTATTGGAACTGAAGCACTTCAACCAATAAAAAGTCGAACCCACACTACAGTACGACGAGTTTCCTCTTTCCATGGTAGCGAGCTTACAGATGGAGGAATGTTTTCTAACGAAAAAGTTGAAAAATTAAAAAAGACGAATAGTCAGCGTAACATTATTTTAAACAACGCGCATGCGACATTGACTCCAAAGTCTGATTGGAAAAAATCGAATATGCCCTGGAAAGATGCCGAGGGATATTTTAAATCAAAAAATCAATCGAATACCCCGGTTATCCAAACTGGCCGTGCGTCGATTGCAAAATTAAGGACCCAGAACGCAGGAATGGTATTAGCTAAGGCTAAATTGTTTGATGAATGTACAACAAAAGTACACGTCCAAAACACCGTGTCAAGTAAAAAGAACAATTGGCTAAGTACAAATAATAATCAATTTACAAATGCTCTAACAGGTTCTTGCGAAAGTACTGAATTATGTCGAAAATCGAGTAAAAATATGAAGAATAAAAGTACAAAATTGATATTTGAAAATTCTCCTTCCCATATCGCTATGGAAACAGAAGGCACAGCTTCGAATTTAAATCACCAAAAAACTAATTTGTGTTACTATATTCCTCAAGATTTTGGTATGAAAGTTTCCAATCCATTACAAGTAACTATGAATAAGCAACTCGACGTTGTATCTGATTTAGAACTTCATCAGAAAGAAAACATGGTTGCAAAAGGCCTACCTTTAATAAATCAATTACCTATGGATACGATATTGCCTGAATCGAGATTAAGTATGTATAAATCCGATGGTAATACACTATGTAGAACTCCGCATATTAAGAAACCATTAACTGTAAAAACACCTAAAAGTGCTAAGACATTATCGAGAAAACCCAATGTAGATTCCCGTAGAACGCCTTTGAAAGCTGTTAGTCAATTGGGAACACCGAAATACCAGAATCCTAAAAGTATATTAAAAACACCAAGGAGTGTTAGTAGACACGCGTAGTATGACAATGTACAAATCTGTTAAAAATGTGTTCTAAAATTTAAGCGTAAGTTTTCAAGCTTTTATATTAGTATAAATACAACAGTATCGATTCTAATATAGGATTCCATATAAGCAACAGAATATTTTTATTACACTTTCACTCAGAGTGCTCGTATAATTAAATGTATAATAAGTTGTTATACAAATTTATAGAAAGGAGAATGCTAATAAGCCTATAGTGTACGAGCCGAGTAAGTTCATCAAATGATTTTTATATAATTTATACTGATATGAAAGAATTGAAAATTTTAAGAAAAGAAACGACAAAATTTTATATTTTTCTTCACACCAAAAAGTTATATAAAATATTATTATTATTAAATTTTACTGTAGTGTTTGGTATGATATTGTCGAAATACTTTTAAATATAAAAAAGAAGCGTATGTATTTGTATACATGTTTCTCTTGTTTGATATTCCTATATTAGTGCCATTTAATAGAATGTATATTACCCATTTATAGAATGAATTTTGTCAATGTACCAGTGTTTTGTAAATTTTAATTAAATTTTTAATATATATTGTATCATTCACCTTTCATTTAATCACAAATTAAATTAGATAATTTTTGTTTGTGAGGTAAATGTACAAATGCCGAGGCATTCCACGTGGTTTAAATGTACCATAAACATAATACGTTTCTTTTACGTTCGACCAATCAGGTTGTACCGTCTGTCCCATCTCGGGCTGTCAAGTAAACGTAGTACACGTTTTTATATGTTCAAACAAATCAACTATGACACAAAAATCTTATATTGTTCGTGAAGCAAAAATGGTCTTGGTTGGTCTCAGTCGGTCTCAGTCGTAAGATAAATAAGGTATGGGACGAGCAATAGTATTTGACAGATAGTTTTCTAGAAAATACTATCGTAAATGTAAATATATTCGCGATAGTTACGGATACTGTCGTTTTGATAACAGCGCCTCGTTGATTGTAGTCGAATCTACAGCTGTTGATAAGTAAATTGTTGGTACGATAAGTGTCAGAGAATATTTCGTCCGAGAGTAACAAGCCTTGGGTTGGAAAAGTAATCGACGCGAAGATGAGAGAGGCTGGAATAATGTTGATAAGTACAGCGTTAACATGCGCTGTAATAGGCAATGCTTATTATCAAAGAAAACAATTTTATCCGACAGTAGTTCACATAACCAAATCTAACCCCAGTATGACGGTAAATTTCGATGTTTTCTTTTCTACATTTTCTTACTAAATTTAACCCCTTAGGCATAATATGATTTTCAGTTTCCTACTCCTTATGGCCAACAGGTATTTGAAAATTCAACTGAGACCATACAATCTGTTATGTAAATTCTTTTAACGTCTAAACAATCAATTTTGAGTTGGTATTACTATAGAAAATGGAATGAACTGATCATTTTATGTTTCATGCTTGAGGGGTTAGTAGGTGGTACACCTAATTTTAACAATTTCTTTGTATCTGTTACATTGAATGTAGGTAATCTACGCGCAAGGTTTAATTCTAGTGTTTATGATAAATGCTTTTCTTCGGAAGATATTTTTTGGTACTCTACGTGCTGCTGAACTTGAGGTAAATATATATTAAATTCTGTCAATTTTGATTTTTGAAATATACATTGTTCTATATGAAGAATTATTTATTTTTAGCATTTGTTGGAAAAAGTATGGTATGCAGTGACTGAGACTTGTCTAGCATTTACAGTGTTTAGAGATGACTTCAGTCCCAAATTTATAGCGTTATTCACGCTTCTCTTATTTTTGAAGTCATTTCATTGGTTAGCAGAAGATCGTGTAGATTATGTAAGTAAAACGAATGTAAAAATAAAATTCTACTATATTTAATTTTTATTTTATTCATTTTCAGATGGAAAGAAGCCCAGTGATAACATGGCTGTTTCATCTTAGAATTGGTACTCTACTGGGATTTTTGTTTGCTATAAATTTAACTATGATTCATTATGCATATAATACAACAGCCACAAAAGGTCCTTCTGTACAACTTGTATTTGGTTTTGAATATGCTATACTTTTAACTGTTGTATTCAATATTAGTGTCAAGTATATACTACATACGATAGACCTACAAAGTGAAAATCCGTGGGACAACAAGCCAGTATTTCTGTTATACACAGAATTAATAATTGGGTTATTGAGGGTAAAAAAGATATTACACATATATAAGCTTCAATTATATATAAAATATTTTTTAACGTATATATTTGTTTACATCAGGTTCTTTTATATGCTGCGTTTGTTACTCTCATGATCAAACTGTATACGTTACCCTTGTTTGCACTTCGCCCAATGTATTATACGATGCGAGACTTTAAAAAAGCTTTCCACGATATCGTGATGTCGCGCAGAGCTATTAGAAACATGAATACGCTATATCCAGATGCAACAGCAGAAGAATTGGCTGCAGCTGATAATGTTTGCATAATATGCAGGTATACATTCGTTTTAGTATGAAGTCCATGCTAGTACAATAATAAAAATGTAATTTAGACACTCACGCGTATGCATCATTGCAGGGAGGAGATGATAGCGGCGAGTAAAAAATTACCGTGTAATCATATTTTTCATACCGCTTGTCTTCGCTCTTGGTTTCAACGCCAGCAAACATGTCCTACTTGCCGTTTGAACATATTAAGACCAGTTACTAATAATCAAGGAACCAGGCAGCAGAATCAGCCACAGGCAGGACAACAAGCGCATCAAGCACCGCAAGCATTAAGATTCAATCCAATGGGTATGTACTCTTATTTTAGTATATTTATTTTTGTACAATCTTAACGAGAAAAATTATGATATTTATTTTTGTTACATGTAGTTCGAGTCTTACCTGCATTCTGGGCTGGATTGCAAGCTCCAGGAGCGGCACCGCAACAACAAGCTCCAGGAGCGACACCGCAACAACAAGATCAAAATAACGCTGGAAATACTGCTTCAACTTCATTTCAGAATTTAGCAGCTGGTGGTGTACCATTATTTCCACCCCCCTTTCCTACGATGGTACCATTACCTCCCATTCCTACGCCGCCACCTAATTTAACAGAACTGAGCGAAGAAGAACTTAGAGCAATGGAAGGTAATTTGCGGCAGGGCGTCGAAGCTAGGATACAAACGTTACAGAGAGTTCAGCTTTTACTGGATGCTGCCAGTGCGATGATGAACCAGTATCAAACGGCAGCTGCAACTGCTAAGTTCGTAAACACTTTCTATTTCTCGATATAAAATTTAAATAACTTGATTATTACCGTATAATGTTTATCGTTATAGCATTCCAGTGCCAACTGCTACAAGCGATACGAACCGATACGTTGCATCGGATGTTTCTTCGATGGGACAACCAGGAACATCAAAAGAAACATGCTCTACAGTTGAAAACGAGCATCAACAAGTTCAAGCCGAGACGAATGTTCCTACTACAAATACTTCCAGTGAAAGTACGAGTACGTTAATAGGCACAAATAGTAACGATATAGCTCCAGAATCATCGATTAGGAATGAGACGGAATCTTCGAGCGAACAGGATATGTTGCGGAGGCGTAGGTTACAAAAATTTTCAAATCAGCTCACAACAGAGTAAATGTTCGTAAAATTATGTGATAACTTGTGTAACATAATAGTTTGTACCTTGATTAATGACTGGCCTGGTTTGCAAATAAATATTTGAGGAATATGTAACAATTATAAATACGAGCTCGGAATTCAAATTTAAAGGCAGAAGTTAATATTACAATATCGATAATTGTGTATAAAATAATGATTTTAAAAAAAAATATACGACACTTATTTTTTTTTTTATGTAAACTATTATAGAAAAAAATATAAACAGGCAAATTATAGAGTTTCAAATATTACATGTACCTTCAAAGTACTCAATTAGTTTGTGTTTGTATATATCCTTTACATAAAGTGATTTGCATAACTTTTGTATTCATTAAATTGCTTCTGTACTCTTTGTCTAAAAGTTATTCAAATCTCATTTTTAATCCCTATAACTTTTATATTCGAAATGTAGTATAAATTGTTTAATGGATTATTTTTCATTCAGGTTAATCTACAGATTTCGCGAATTATAGTACATTTTTTAAGGAGTGCTTGTGTTTGTACATGGGGGTGGTAATATAATCGATTTAGATAACTGTCATTATATATAATAAATTTATTTGTCTATTTAATATTTTTGTTTTTATTATACAAATTTGTATACGTTGTAGTTCATCGAAGACAAAATTATCTGTAATAATTTTGAACAAAAAATTCGAATAAAAATATAGAATGTAACAAGTACAAAATAAATTATCTAACAAAATTTCGACAAGATTTAGGTTTACATAATTTAAACAAAATATTATTAAACTCGTTAGAAAAAGCATACCGATGTTGCATTTTTTGTTTAATACCATACAATCCGAATAAATAATATTTCTTATGTTGTAACGTTATTATACAAATTTCAACATACAATTGTGTTGCAAACAGTAATGCATGTAAATAATAATATCATTATGATTTTAGCATCTACGAACGTAAAAAAATGAAACAGATACATAAAAGAATAATCACTATCCGCAAACTTTTATTGATCAGTCGAAAGATAATTATAACCTCATTTTTCTACGCCGAAGATGCGCAAGCTCGATGTGATTATACCGAAAGTAGATCAGATCTTCTTAAACTTAAATCATGTATAATTTAACGATATCAATGTATCATTTTTGAATGAGGCATATTTTTTTTTATACATTCGAACACTACAATATACAATATTAATGCGTATTTCGTATGGGAACTAGTGGGAACACCAAGGAACACTGAAATCGTTTACGTGATGTACAAATTGTTTTCGTTTATGTTAGTTATTATATATACATATACTTTTAAAGACTTTTAATTCAATAACTGTAGAACATAAACGACATAAATATGCATTTAATCCATATAATATTCTATATAAAATAGTACTAAGATTCTACATACAATGATGTATATGGAATTCGATTGTTACTCGCGTTTGACTGCAAATTATTCGAAACAGTTTATGGAGTGTGATAAAGTACGAAATATTAGTATCATAAAAAAAGTACAGAATACCAATTACTCTTTAGTAATTGAATGAAATTCATTAGAAAAACACGTTCATTCCGACGTTTCGGCCAGAGGTTGTTGACCTTCTTCAGGGATAACAAGTATTTTCGATCTTAATTTACTTTCATAATTGTAGAAATAATGAATACCGGTATCTAATCTAATAAAATTCATGAAACACATCTATCTAAATATAGTAATATGCATATTATGAATTAGGATCTTATCTATAATTATCATTGCTAGAAAGTAATGTATTCATTCCTTTTAACACAATTTAACAACATTAATGTAATACATTTTACACGTAATTTTCTATCAATCACAATTATCGATAAGATTTTAATTCACAATATAAACATTAATATATGTATATAAATATATGTTTCGTTGGAAAAGAACGTAGAAAATCGTATTGCGCGCGGAAAGCCGTGAGATACACGAGGCGAACCCCGTAGCGCGTTGTTGTGATCTAACATGGCGGAGTGTAGTGTTGTGGCTGTTCAGTGTCTATGTCAATTTTAGAGTGATTTTTCTTAATAAGAACGAAGAAACTGCCATGATTGGCGATCACTGTACCGCAGGGGATCGAGTTAAATAGTCACGTATTGATGAGTATTTGTATCGCAAAAGGACCGAGTTTAATTTGGGTTTCGTTTGTCGCGGGAACCGTACACAGCGGTGAGAGAGCACGCAGAGTGCCGTCTTCCCAGCAACAAATTTCTCTCCTGACCTTCCACGACGACAAGCTGGCCTTTCGAACCGACTCGACGCACGTTCGTGATCCCGTCGCGTTCCATACCTGCGACACGTGAAAGCGAAAACGTGCACGACGTGAGGTTTTCCCGCGCGTCCTGTGAGGTTTTCTTGGCGCAAGAATCAAGGCTTATGCAACGAAGAGCGCATAAACATCTATTACGGTAAACAATCTCGTTCCGTCAACCGAACATCAAGGCATGTGAGCTGGTCAACGGTCCGTTGTTGCTCTTTCGTATCTTAGGAATTGCTAGCGACGAAACTCGATGTATCATCCAGGCTCGTTAAAGGACGTATTGTACAATTAGTGGTGAAAGCTGAGCGAATAGATAGATCGGTGAAGTCTGTTGTTAATTATTAGATACAAGCAAAGATTCCTTATGGCGTGTTTATTAATTGACAGTCGTATCTTTGATTCACCAAAACTATTAGACCAGAATAATCATATGTACAAGTCAGAATCTTAAAGAAAGCGTGCGCTTGAATGTCTGTATCGGAGTAAAAAGCCTTAATGGGTTACAAGAGTCTGATTGACAGATCGATACATGCGGATTGTTGTGCATTTGTCGATTCATTGGAGAGTTGAAAAATTGTAAAGGTAGTTTGGAAAGCCAAAGAGCTGGTGAAAAGAAAAAGGGATGCAAGGTTGTTGGTGATAATATTGAATAGTGTGCATCAGTTAGTTTTGCAATATGACGGATACACGCAGAAGAGTAAAATTGTATGCACTCAATGCAGACAGACAGTGGGATGATCGTGGTACAGGTCATGTTTCTTCTTCGTACGTAGATAGACTGAAAGGAATTTCACTTTTGGTCAGAGCAGAGAGCGATGGTTCTGTTTTGTTGGAGAGTAGAATACAGCCTGACACTGCATATCAAAAGCAACAGGTAAATTATTGTAAATTTTTAGATCAATATTAGATAGATATATTTATTTTCTTTTTTAGGATACATTAATTGTTTGGTCGGAAGGAGATAATTTTGATTTAGCCTTAAGTTTTCAAGAAAAGGCTGGCTGTGATGAAATCTGGGAGAAGATATGTCAAGTTCAAGGCAAAGATCCATCCGTTGAAATTACTCAAGATATTGTAGAAGAATCAGAAGATGAACGGTTCGATGACATGTCGGATGCTGCACCTCCCATAGAACTGCCTCCATGTGAATTGAGTCGTTTGGAAGATATTAACGAACTAATAGGAAATTGCTTATCTTCTCAAATGAGGAAAGATAAATTGGCATTGGCTTTAGAAGCAGAGGGTTATATTAAAAAACTATTAAATCTGTTTCACACGTGCGAAGATTTAGAAAACATTGAAGGATTGCATCATCTTTATGACATATTTAAAAATATTTTCTTACTTAATAAAAACACATTATTTGAAGTTATGTTTAGCGATGATACAATTTTCGATGTTGTTGGATGTTTAGAATACGAGCCAACGTTACCTCAGCCAAAGAGGCATAGAGAATATCTTCGACAGTTAGCCAGATTTAAGCAAGCAATTCCCATTACAAACGCCGAACTGCTGGCTAAAATTCATCAAACGTATCGAGTTCAATACATTCAGGATGTAGTTTTACCAACTCCGAGTGTATTCGAAGATAATATGTTAAATACACTCAGTAGTTTTATATTTTTTAATAAGGTTGAAATAGTAACCCTGATACAGGACGACGAGAAATTCCTTACCGAACTATTCCGTCAGTTAACAGATGAAGCAACATCGGACAGCAAAAGACGCGATCTAGTTCTTTTCTTAAAAGAATTTTGTAACTTTTCTCAGAATCTTCAACCGCAAGGAAAGGAGGCCTTTTATAAAACTTTAACAGCTCTTGGTATTTTACCTGCATTAGAAATTACTCTGGCAATGAACGATGCCCAAACAAAAACAGCCAGTATAGATATATTGACTTATATAGTGGAATATTCTCAGAGCGTTGTTCGAGATTATACGCTACAACAAATAAATAATACTGAACAGGACCAAATGTTAATAAATGTAATAGTTGCTCAACTCGTCGGCGATACTGATCCAGAGTTGGGTGGAGCAGTACAACTAGCCGGTGTATTACGTCTGCTCCTCGATCCAGAGAACATGTTGGCTTCCGTTAACAAATCAGAAAAGACTGATTTCTTGAATTACTTCTACAAGAATAGTATTGGAACATTGATAGCGCCTCTTCTAGCAAACACTATTGGAGAGCGACCGGCAAGGGAAGATTATAGAACGGTGCAGCTTTTAGGCTTGATTTTAGAACTACTATCGTTTTGCGTGGAGCATCATACATACCACATTAAGAATTGCATATTAAACAAAGATCTGCTCAAACGGATACTGGTCTTGATGAAATCGACACACACGTTTTTAGTATTGTGTGCTCTGAGGTTTATGAGAAAGATTGTAGCTCTGAAAGACGAGTTTTATAATAGATATATCATCAAGGGGAATTTATTTGCACCTGTATTCGATGCATTTGTAAGAAACAATGGAAGATATAATCTATTGGATTCTGCTATTCTTGAAATGTTTGAGTTCATCAAATTGGTAAGTGGAGATTGCATCACTGTAACTAGTTTTATAAAATTACAATAGCTCATACTTTTAATGCATGCGTTTGTTTTATTTTTTTAGGAGGATATTAAATCCTTATGTTCACACGTTGTTGAAAATTTTTCGAAAGAATTGGAAGCAATCGATTATGTACAAACGTTTAAAGCTTTGAAATTAAGGTATGAACAACATCAAGACAAGTTAAAGGATCGAGACAGGACAGCTCTTGACAGGTACACGGATCTTTTTCTATTAAAAAGTTTTACTGAAATTTGTTCTCAACATGGAAGTCATATATATTTATGTTTATGATTATTCAGTGTTCCATCCATATTGAGAAGTAGTAGTCGATACAGAAGGGACCAGAGACAGTTAGACGAAGAAGAAGAAATGTGGTTCAACGAAGAGGAAGACTTTGACGAGGGTGAAGCTGTCGTGCCCGCAGCAGCAGCAGATCTTGTGCCTCCGGCTTCAGCTAAGAAACAGTCGTCAACTTCAAATTCCGCACTTAATCCTGCTCTTGCAGATTCGAAAAGTCATCATCAACAGCAACAGCAACAGCAATCTGTGTTGAACAATAATACAGCTAATAATAACATTACCTCGCAGCAATCACAAATCAATAATAGTACAACAGCAACGAACGAATCTCCGATTACCTCGGAAGTGAATCCAAATTCGCCTATTGGCTCGGTAGAAAAAACTGGTACTGCATTATTTAAAAAGGTAAATTTCAGTTTTATAGTTTGTAGACGTATTAATTTCTTGATTTAAAATGCGTATTCAATAAAATATCTTCCAGGGCTTAGTCGATTACGAGGGTGATTCGGATGAAGAAGATGAGGACACGGAGGTAACACCTTCCCCGAAACGGCAAAGATTGTCATAGTAGGCAAACTGGAACAGAATGAGAAATTTGTGATTTTTAATCGCTACTACCATTGTTGGCCCTCTTACGTGCACAAAGGACTTGATCCGGAGATCGTACAATCAACCCTTCTTAAAAGATGAATCGTTCTTTTTAAGTGAGTGGACACCAGGATACGTGTTTATAATGTGGTGGTAATTGACGTACCTCGTTGTGTTGGGTTGTGTATAATATATGAAAGCACCGGTACTGAACGCAGGTGGGTGAAAGGGGTCTAAGAAATGGGATGTATGTAATTGAAAAAGCAAAACGAACGATGAACCAATGCGATACGAAGGAAGAGAGAACTTTCTTTAAGAGAAACACGATGGTAAAATTGTGTAACAATGTATGACCACACGAGTGTTAACAGTAAAAAAAAAAATTTTAAAAGAAATAGTCCATTCCACGTTATCTGGAAACACCCCATGTACTAGGAGAAATTATTTCATGAATAGGCTAAGAAACTCTAGCCAGGCCTAGTGGTTCTTGCAAGTACAGACTTCTGAGTGTGTGCTTGGATTCATGTAATAATGAAATTGTGACTGTACGTCGTACATACATCTACTAAGAAGAAACTTATTATGTAAAAACAAAAAAAATCACATGTAAAAGTACATGATGTACCCGCACAAAAAACAACTGAGTGTTTTGTTTTGCCATCCATAAATTTCGTAATTCGTGTGATGGGCAATTAAGACCTGTCCTTTAAGGGGATTAGACATCATGAAACTTTATCCAATTTAACAGAAGTAGTATTTAGTTTGTATATATATGTATATTTGTAACGATTGTAAAACAACCATTCGTGGGTTAAGCAGAGAATATGCGATTCCTTTACAAATTCAGTTCCCTTTAAGGTTCTTTAAATGAGCTTTTCGGTTGTCAATGTAAGTAGTAGAAATTGTACAATAAACATTTGATTTGTGTATATTTACCAGTTTGCACTTCATGCCCGATATTATTCCTCGATGTAAAAAGTATAATGTGAAAGTGTCTTGCAATTTTTGAACATTAAATATAACCATCCTATTCATATAAATTATTCGTAACTGTATGGGCAGAATAGGTCGCCTGGCATTATTGTGCTTTGTAAAAAAAAAGGAAAAAAAAAATTATTACGTATATTTGTGCAACTTCATTCTTGCGAAATTTCATTATGTATACATTTATAACGTTGCGTGGTTTCATCTAAATTATTTCTAACGACGTAACAAATCTTTTTTTCTTTCGTGACTCGTAACTGTTAACAAATACTCAAGATTCAGAAAGAAAGAAGAAAAAAAAACATTGAGAGCGTTAACACCTTGAAATTGTAGGCTGACGCTTACCAAAATTTATTTTTAACACGTCATATCATGATAAACAGAAGTTCATTGATCTAAGTCAGCTCCAGATAAAAGTGTCTACTTAGTTTTAACTATCGATACAACCGAGAAGGCTGGTATTAAGATATATATATTTATCTATATATTTTTTAAATTGATCTCGATGTCGTTTCACTGAGATGTTTTCTACATTAATATTATTTTAACGCGTGCCCTCGATTGATTAAGTTAACTTGAACAAAGCATAAGAAAAAAAAGCAGGAGTATTATAAGCTAATGTATAGATTTTTCACGACACAACCGATACCCAACAGAGTTTCTAAGACTGCTTTAGAACTGTATGTATATTGGATATTTCGTAAATAGCATAACGTACGCGTATGCACGCCCATGCATATACATATATATTAACTTATGATACTGAGAGAAAACAGAATCTTGGACGTTAATTCGGTTACGATACGAGTAGAACACTTGTGAATATCCAAGTAGGCAAATTCACTGGAGCTGAATGCGACATATGTACATAGAAGACAGAGAGTGCAACTTGGACTGACCATAGAGAGAAAGGAATGTAACAAAGGCTAAATATTAATTAAGAGGATATCGAATAACGTTGTTCTTTATGTGTTTTACATATATAGTCACAATTTATTCGATATAACAAGGGACGAAATAATATTGTTAGACAGAGAAAAAGAAACGCTAAGTCGTCAACGTGTATGGGAATGTAAGTAAAGAGAAAGAGAGAGAGAGAGAGAGAGAAAGAAAAAGCGAGGGAAAAAAGTGAAGAATCGATATCGAAGTGATATTAGAGTAAAAAGCGCGGTCGTGTATGCTATTTAAGCTAAATTTAATACATACTTATATGGAGTGTTTCAGACTTGTTCGTTGTCACATCGCTTTCATTGCTGTTCTTTTTATTTAACGTTCCTGTCACCCATTGCTGGTGCCTTCGAACTGCGTATTTAACATAATTTTTGCTATTCCTTTTGTAAAATCTTGAGTACAAGCCGAGGCTTCCTATGTTTCTACATAGGAACACGTTATTTAAGTATTCGAGCATTTAGGAGAGGCGAGATTCTACGTTAAGTTTCTCCGTTAGAGAATGGACAAGTTTAAGTTTTTTAATCGATTAGGATCGAAGTTACGCATAAAAAGTAAAAAGAGTATTCCGGAACGATTTGTTACAGTAGGTGCGTTTGATATGTAACCGAGTACCGTTTATCATTGTTGAGAATATTCTTATTTCGGTGTCCCCTTATCGATGGAGAAAACTCTAAAACATTCTGTGTAAGATCAGTGCCGAGGTCGCAGATAGAAATTTTACAACCGTCACATCGATGTAATGTTAATTACATGATAAAAAAAAAAAAAAAAAGCATTGCACACATTGTACAATACCACGTGTTAATAATCTAATGCGTTTTAATTATATATATACATATATATATATATACAAAATATATATAAAAAAAACGACAGAGCGAGACGCTTTTTCTCTGATATATATATATACATATGTATGTATAAATATATATATACACAGAAAAAGACAACTTTTTATATGAGAAGCTATTCGTAAAACGAGTGAATTAAGAGCAAGTATAAGGAAAAAAAAAATAATGGACTGTTCTGTGTGTAGTATGGTAATAGTTGAATGGAGGAGCAAGTGAAAAACGAATATTTTGCATTTTATTCCAGTAAAGTATGAACGATTGATCAGACGAGCTAGACGAGAATTAAATGTGATATTTATAGCGGAGTACGAGCGACAAACATTTTCTCGGGAATCGTGAACTCGCGTCCTTAATATTTGTAATGTTTCAAAGTTATCTTTCGGTTAGTTGAATTAGAAGCGAATTAATAGCACGGTTTATTGTACGATACAAAGTTTACGTCAATACACTTTCTTTATGCCAGTTTATCGTAACACGGAGAAACAAATCCTAGATGTCGAAGTAACGGTCGCTCGTATTCCGCCACAAATCCATTTCGTTCTTTATAATCGGACAGCTAAGAGACGCGAGAATGATAAATGTGCGTTACACGGAATAGAAGTGTGTTGTAGAAGTGCGGAGAATATTTAATTAAATAAAACCTAAAATTAGAAGAATTGGTTAACGAACGGAGTTGTAACTTACCTCAATGTTTAATCGGAAGGAAAATGCGTTCCTTTGTATGGATGTAATCGTCATCAGCTTTAGTTCTACTGTCATTGTGATTTATAATACTTATGCTATTAGATAATTATATGTAAAAAAAAAGATTTTTCAACGTACATTGCCGCTTGTCTCTTTCGCTAAAGCATTTTTAACGTTACACGATTTACGTTATTTCACGTTTTCTTTGTATTTACGTAAAAGGGAATCCGAGTGGATACAATTATGCGCGTAAGTATAGGAAACTGACGATTTACAAAGTATCGGTGATGTACCCGAACAGTGAACGCAACCGTTCCACTTTTTATTTATATAGATCGGATTTTCTTGACAGCCGTGCAAATAATTACAACGAACAAAAACATTAATTTTGGTTGTAACTTAATTTTACCAAATCGATCGACGCGTCGAACGCCCGAGAGAAAATAGTGCAAATGACCTTAAAATCTTTGTATGATTTCATCGGTACTTACGAGCGGAAATAGTGCAACCGTAACGCTATGTTTCTAACACTTTACTTAGAAAGTACTATCCCCGTCGATGCAACCATTTACCAAGAACTCGTGTAAAACTAAACAACTTTTACTTCATCGTTTCAGACGCGTCTATAAGGCACCTCTATCTTATAATTCGGTTCGGTATTTTACCCATTACGACGTACAGCGTTATTATTTCATTCATTGCGAGCTTTTTATACTTTATACTTTAATTCGCCGAGAAGAAATATTCACGTCACCCTGTTCAAGTTCTAAAAATCTATCCTCACCATTTTCATGGCGAAACGTTATCATCGCGAGCTTACCTCTCGCATGATCGCGAAGTTTAGTGAAATCGGTACGCAACATTTCCGAGGATTATTATTAGTTCGTTTGCTTACGCACAACCTCGGCTTGGAGGCGAGCCGCGAGTGCTTTGCGTACTTGAAGTATGGACGGTTCCAGAGGTATCGGTAATTTTAGTTCTCGTTCCCCCTTTATGGTCGCTTCGGCGACCGTCCTGGCCGAACTCGGTCGCGTCGAATTCATCTCTAGCCGTTGACTTCTCGCCTCCTTCTTCAAGGCCACCAACTTGTCTCGTCTAGCCTTCAGATAAGCCTGCCTCTTCTTTATGTCCTCCTCCGACACCTGAAACGTTCGGATCTCTATAATGAACTATTACTTGAAAGGTGAGAGCACATCGCGTTATTGGAACGTCAGTGTACATTTTGTTCCTCCGATTTCGACTCGTCCGACGATGTCGGTTCGAGCGGGATCGTTCTTTCTACTTTCGAAGTACTCTCTATTTCATCATGTTCTTTATCTTCTTCCTCAGTTGGCGACGACAGGGATTCCGTTTCCGGCGTCTTGTCCTGCTGCGATGCCTTCAGAGCTTCTTCCAACAGGGCTCTCTCGTTATTGTATTTGGCCGTCAACCGCTCGTGCTCCTTGATTAGCGACGTCTCCGATGCCTCTATATCCTGCTCTTCCTCTGGATCATCGTCCAGAGCGTGTTTCCTGTGAACAGGTTTATTTAAATAATTCTTATTCACCCAGACCCTCGGAAGTTCTGGGACTAGAACTCAAAATCTAGAACCTCAAGTATCCCAAAAACCTAACTGAATTATTTCTTCCATGACCAAGGTGTCGTCGTGCAATCCGTCCGTTTCGTACATCAAGGAGGCTGGCGTCAGACCATACTTCTGCTCGATCATGTTCAGAGCCTGCAACTGCAGTTCCAAATTCTTCTGTATCATCATCCTCTTGAATATCTCGTACTCGTTCGCAGCCCATATCTGCTCGAACAGGTTCTAGAAAATATAACAAAAGAGTCACTACGGGACGACAAGTTTCGCATGTTTATTAGTTTATTGCTCTCGTATGCCGAAAGAAATATACCGCCTTTCTCCAAGAATTGTTATGTAAAGCGAGCGAAAGTTGGAGCGAAATGTTGTTCTACAATAAGCGAAAAGCAAAGAGCTATCCGCGCGGCGACTCTTCGACCGTTGCGTAAGAAAATTCGACAGGCAGCCGACGTTTCTCCTCGTTTCGACTTACTTGTTGGAACTGTATAGGCATTTTCGTGTATTTGTTCACGGTACAAGCGTACTCGAATTGCTCCGGAGTGATTCCCATGTCTTCCATGAAACAACCGAGCAATAAATCCACCAAATTTTTGTACTCTTGATATATTTTCTGGTACTCGTCGTTTTCCTCTATGTCCGCTTCGAATACTGCGTAAGATCATAGAAAACAAAAGTGAAAAGGCTTCGAACAATGTTGACAGACGCATAGAGAACAAGCCAACGGGAAAATTGTTTGTCGACGTAGAAAGATCGTTGCTGAAGAGACTTACTGAGCGACTTCTCCTCTATGAAGGTAATCAGAGGCGCGGACCAAATCGGGCCCTGAAGAAACCCGATCAGGGAGTCGAAGACCCAGGCGCTGTCGTCTTTGTCGTTCATTATGCACTGATGCGGGAATTTTATTATGCGAACGATCGATCCTCGAAAGAATCCACGCTTATATTGCGTCTCCTTAAAGCGTAGTCATAGTTACCAAATGGCAAAACACTTTGCCGGTAGGCTTGCGCGGACGAATGAAAGTAACGCAGCTCTCGGCTTTCAATTTCACTTTATTGGAACAGAAAACGTGATTTGTACAGGAACGCAAATTATCGCGCTTCCCCGCTTTTTCTTTTCTCTGCGTCTTTATTCGCCGATACATACATACTTTCTTTCGTTTATCATGTAAGACTACTCTCGTTCTGTAAAATAATGCTCTATGTTACATATTTATAATAAAAAAAAGATGAAAAAAAGAAAAAGAAAAGGAATGTATTAATCGTTACGAGTTTCATAAAAAAGAAATTGACATTAGCGACTTATTAGGAATAAGAAACAAAGTATACATATATATATATATATAGCATATACAGGATAATATTAACGATTAAGATCACCTTGTATTACAGATACAAAGTTAACGAGTTAAGTAAACGTATGTACAAGATGCAAAAGTGTCAGCGGACGATATAATTTCGTACAAAATTGATTAAAAACTAGAAACGTTGATACACGAAGGATAATTCTAAACTTTGATTATGTACAATACTTCTTTTCTCTTCGTTTCTTTCACAGTTACCCACGAGTAAAATGTATTCACGAATTGTTTATAGCGTTAGCAACGAGGATAAGGTGGCCTATGTACAATGTATCCTCGTTTCCGGGTCGTTCTATAATTGAAAATTGTGTTGAGAATGATTCAAGGTGTTTGTTGACATCGTGTGCGCCGGATGCGACGGGGCAGGCGTGTAAAGACTGTGATGCGAGTGGGACTTCGCTCTGGAGAGTTCGCTGTACCGGTCCTGTTCCGGTGGAGCGACCAAGAGGACAGGTCTCAGGGACAGGGACTTCCTCGATCCAGCGACGCTCTGTGCTTCGTTCACGTATCCGGGATTCACTTCACCTGGAAGAGAAGGTACGTTAACATTCGTCTTTGAAATGGTAAATTCGTTCGTTGTATAATAAAGTACCTTTGTACAGGGAACCATTGGTAAATGGCTCCGGTTGCAGTCGAACGTGCCTGGACGCCAAAATAAAAGCAAGCGCGGCGAGGGTGGCAGCATCTAAAGCGGCGATTGCCGCTAACGGTATCGCCCATCTAACGGCGCAGGCTCCCGGATTATATCTGCCAAACAACAACGTTTCATTTTATTGATAAGTAAATTAATTGACAAGTAAAACGCATTCGGTACATGTAGCACAAAAAATACTGCTGTTGTAGAGCGGATTCTTTGACTTAATATGTTTATCTAGGATCGTATCCGATGCGAAACCGATATGAAATCGATACCTGGAAGCGGCTGCACCGCAGACGGCTCGAATTAACTGCGAGTCCCATCCCATCGGATATATGCAGACTCCGATAGCCATGGATATCGCTGGAAACAAAAATGAGAACATTGAATTCAAATAGTTTTCGTTTGCAGGTTGCAAAGAGGAACGGCGTTTCTATCATCTAACGCGAACGAACGCATGTAACGCGGCTGGCATTTCAATCTGTCTCTCTTCACGGATGTTGTACAAGAGGTCAGCAGTGAAAGGTACCGCGGTACGACTGTTGGCTTTTCCACTGCTTATTATCTGTTCGCGAAGAAGGTATGCCCCGCTCGTAAACGGTACCCCCTGCCTTTGTTAGTTCGACGAAGATTCTAAGTTTAGTCTATTAATTATTAATTACAATTTTTAGGGACGCTTTAAAAATACTAATTCCAAATGATTCACGAATTCGAACGGAGGAGTCCCAGATCACGTTCAAGGAAGTCTCCATCGCATAACGCAGAGACAGGAAGTATTTATTTCCGATTCGACGAGTGGTATGCATTATAACGTCCGTTTCTGAGTGAAACGTTTCCCTCTTCGCGAGGGCTGATTCACATTTCAACCGGCGACTTTCACTGTCGGCGTACAAACGAGCTACGATCACTGGTAAATGCCTCCAATCAACGACGATCGTCTTCCAACTTTCATCTCCAGCCGATGATCGTCGTTGTTATGTAAACTTGATTGCCCGTTAACTATTTTTCTCTCTATAATACCCCATTAACGTGAACCTACTGCGATTGAATATTGGTTTCCCATTGGGACAGTTAGACAAACTATTAGGTGTACAAATAAGTTCGGTGCCTTTACATATATTCAGTTGCAATTACATTTCGAATGGAAGTTTTTATTCCAGCCGATGAGTGTCTTAAGGTATTAGCTTCACGTTACCAAATTCACTATGCAACTTTTCTTTTTGCATTTGAGTTGAAGAAAAATGCTGCCGAGTATCTAGGGAGTATACATCTAACCCTAATTCTAATTGTTCAACGAACATTGAATACCATTATACCATCCCATACCTTGTGTTGCAGGACAAATCAAGGATGTCAATGTTCTTCAACTAGGTCAGCAGTACCGGATAAGTATTTTATAGATATAGCTGCGTCGACCTCAACCGCTGTGTCGTTCCTCCATTGTCAAACGGTGTCATTGCCAAATAACTTTATGTATTGTTCCAATACAAGTCGAAAAAGGGGCTTATCTGCATTCACGATCGCACTAGTTTCTCGAATAAATCTTACGGTCGAGGAGAAAATCACGGAGAGAGTATACTGGACGATTTAAGAAGAATTTTAGGTTATCCGGAAACGTCGGAGAAGAGCGTTGTCGTCTTCGTTACTAGAAACTTTAAGTCAAATGAGAATCTAGCCCACCTTTGACGTGACCAATCATCGTGAAGGCGTTGGCCAACCGGTAAATCGGCCGCTGATATAACGGTCTATTCTACATGGTTACTTGAACGATATCTCATAGGTACGCAAAGCCAGCAATTTACGCGAAATAAGGGGTTTTCTCTTTAACATTCATACTCTGCACTGTAACGACGCGTTTCGAGGAACGGGTAATCAGTCGTTCGCGGTGATTTGATCATCAGCGTGACTTGTTTGTTTCAGAATTATTGTTTTATATATACATTTCGCAACCGTGATTCTCGCGGGCAAGTAGATTTCTACTCGCGGAAAAACGGGAATCGCGGTTGAAAGTCGCTTAATCCTCGAATGCCAGAGGAGAAATTATCTTGTTCTTCCGAAGCATTGTAAAATTGATACGTAATTTAATTCAACAGATACATACGCGACCACCATTCCATCCCAATGTTGTTCCTGTCCTGGATTTAATTGCATTCAAACCAGTGAACAATAAACTCTGTCGCAACAGGAGCGTGCTAAGCGAAACGATTGCGTCACTTCCTGACCCGTTGGCCCCGGTGCATCGCTGTAATTTGCAACCGCGCTACGCTGATAAGGTATTACGCGAAGATTACAGCAACAGTCCACGGGAATGTCCAGCCGAGTTATACTTTCTAAACCAATGTTCAACGTCACGGTGAATTTTTGCTTTTGTCTTTTGCACGGTCGATTGCGCAACCCGGTGATTTACAGCCAACCTCGCAGGTAAATCACTTTCTTAATACGAGGGCCTGAGAGTTCTAACGATATAACGGATACTAAATAAGGAATCGACGTGTTTTGTTTCATAGTTATTTACCTGAGACTACTTGCATCCAGGCACACAGGTAGAAGACAGTTGTGCTCTGACAGAAGAAGAACAGGAGCATCGCGCAGATCGTCAAGAGAGCGATTATCACAGCGATCCCGACCAAGATCGTGCTCACCTTGAAGGGAATGTTGACGATCGTCGACAAGTCGTCCAATCTGCCGATGCATTCTTCTCCTAATTCGCCTGACGAACAAGAGAAATTCTTCTCGTTAGATACATGCTTGGTTATCGAACCAACGTTACGGTGAGTATCCTACGTTCTCATCTCTATTCGAAAATGATCTTTACCGTTTCCGCCGTAGCTGCACCTGGTCCACAGGCCAAACCTCCCAGGATTCTCGTGCTCTAGGTCACCCAGCCACTCCGGCGTGACAAAAGCCACGACTCCAATTATGGCGTAGCATATGGTGAAGATACCCCACAGGACACCGATCGCCTTTGAATTACGAATGTAATTCGTCGCGTACATGTGAGAGGACTCCACGTACTCTATCTTGGAACCCATTTTCCTAAACGGACGATATCGTTTGATCAATAAGCGCTTCTAAGATCCTCGAACACGATTGGATCGGGATACTTCTATAGTGTTTCTATACAAATGTCACATGTATTTATCGAACATCTGCGTGCTATCAACAAAGCCAGTAATCGGTATACAAACGTGCGTCGCTCTACAGTGAGTCACAGAAGTTATTTCATTAACTGTTGACTGCGGACTTGTTGATATTCTTACGAAATAAATATTATCGAATCCTTCTCGATAAAAGTGACAGTTCACCGCGATAAAAATAGAATTTACATAAACTATTTACAGTCACTAGTGGATTGTGAACAAAGAACAGCTTTCGCTTCGGAACTATTTAGCTGGGATAAAAATCCTCTCTCTTTCCGTGCGCCAAGTTCGCCCAGCTGGTTCCGGATCGTACGAGTCAACGATATTATTGTCGCGCTGAAAATGCCCGAGGAAGTCGCTTTCCTTTGCGAATCGTTGGCTTTTAACGGCTTCTCGTTGCCAGATTGCAGATTTTTTGCTACCTGCGGCATATGCTGATATGGAAACCGCATGTAAAATGCACGTAAAATATTTTCTTCGTGAGAATCATATCGATTACATTCAATTATTTGTGTTTCAATCTTTTTTCTAGGTTCTATTAAATAAGGTCTTGTTTACTTACAAATAAGATATAGTGAGATCGATGTAGTACAAGTAGCGAGTGGTTATTTTGTTTAAGTATTTGTACTTTGGATGTTAGCATACGCTTTCCATAATTAGCACACGTTATAAATGCATGAAATCCGCAATCTGCTCATCACCGATTCTGCAGCGACTCGTGGAGTACTGTGCGTCGCTCGATTCTCACGTTAAATCGCTGCCAGGCCCGTGACATTTACACCCGACACGTTCGTCGATTGGTTCCGAAGGTATAGCCTTTTCTTTCGTGGGTTGATGCACTGCCCATTTACCGATAAGAATACATTTCATTGTTTCCTCGGGGTCTAACCTCGCCCCTCGAGAGATAGGTAAAATTCTGATAGAAATATCGAATAACGAATGAAACGCGAAATACTCGATTCTGTAACTCAAATGTTAATTTTGCGTGTAGATCAGATTTTTACTTCGTCTCTGTCGAGGTCGAATTCCGATCCACTCCAAACAAAAAACAAAAATATGAATGTAAACGCGCGATTTTTGGTCACATATTGACGTTTAAGAAATTGTAAATAATCTTCCGGAGCTACTCTCGATGTTATTCGAGAAAAGAAGAGGCACGTTGATCTTTAAATTTGATTTTCGACGACGGAAATATTAAAATCCTAAGAAGATCCGTTGAACGTACCTGTTCCGCTCCTCTTCTTTCTATCGAAGCTTTCCTTCTCAAGACACCGACGGAAACATCCGCGCCGAAGTGCCGATCGTCCGAGTTCACAACACACGACGATCAAAACTGCTTCGCGAGAAACGTTGGCAGTTCCAAATGGAACCCAAAGAAACGAACGTAATGGAGCGTAGAGCGACGGAGAATCACAAAACGACCGAGAACTACGAGCGACTTGCGTGATATACTGATTAGTCCGTTGGATCGGCTTGCATAGCGGCTCGTGGGCGCGAGACGGCCGCGGCTGATCACCTCGAGCGAATGAAAAACACGTCTTAAGGAGGACAAGCTAGGATAGAGTTCTGTACAGTTCAAGATGGCCGCTCAGGTGAGCTGAAGTTCCTCGAGAAGGTAGAAGTGGGCGAATGGAGGGGAAACAAAAAGACGGGGACTGTGAATGGGGCCTCTTACGAGCCTTGGACACGAGAGAAAGGCGACGTCCCAGGAAAGATGTAGAGAGTAGGGATGTCGCCTCGTGCAGCGGCCCTCTTCGATACGGATATCGCTTTGTCGGTCTTTCTTTGGGCTGGTCCACCGTAATTATAAGTTCAAAACAGGCCGCAGCAATGTCCGCATTATCGCGTAGAAAATATCCTGAAAACATTCCAGCATTGTTACAAAGCAACTATGAGACGTTATGTAAAGACATGTACATTAAAATATATCAATTTGTAACATAAAAGACTGAGTTTAATTATTTCACAAAACCTTTTGGATCAGTGGGACACATTCCATTTCTAGGACTGTCTGGTCTATGACGGGCAAGGGCAAGCACAATCCCTCACGAGCATATTTTAAAGCAAATTACGTGAGGATATAGCAACTTATTAATATTAGCATGTTCGTCAGATTCACAGTCGCCGAATAAGTAACGCTTTAAGCATCAGGAGAACATGATATGCGAGGAGGTGGCACTTCTGCGCCTACGAGGAGGCAACCAGACCGACAACGCTGCTAACATAGGTTGCCGCACAGAAGGGGCACGCCCGCGAATAGGCAACCGGTCTGACATATCTATAAGTATAG